ACATAGAGCAGCCGACAGCAGTCCGAATATGGAGTGGTCCGACATAGAGCAGCTGACAGCAGTCCCAGTGTGGAGCGGCCCGACACTGAGCGGCCGACATCAGTCCCAGTGTGGAGTGGTCCGACACTGAGCGGCCGACATCAGTCCCGGTGTGGAGCGACAGCTGCCCGGAGCTCCCCGGCTTGAGAAAGACGGCTGCGCTACGCGACCCCAGTGACACTGGCTGCCGGCGCCCAGTGATCTGCGGAGGGTCGGCCGGACAGGGCGGCCTGAGAGGGGAGGTGCGACCGTGCCATCCCCGATGTGGCTGGCGGGAGGGCGCCGCCACTGAATGGGCGGACGGGCATGAATGCAGCACCGCCTCTGAACCGGCGGGGAGGTGTCGCGCACAAAGCCTGCCCGGTCGGGGGCACCCTGCCGTCGCCGTCGCTCAAAGGCGGCCCGAGCAGCGTGGCTAACGGATGTGGCGGCCTTTTGGTGGCATTGTGGTCATGAGCGATCGCGACCGCCCGTTCTCGGCGATACCCGTGATATTCACGGCTCGCCGGGCACATCCACAGCCGACACGGGGGCGACGCGCCGCTGCCGACCACAATTTTACACTTGTCACACGTCGTACGTGGCCCCGGCTCTGTCCTTGAGACAGAGCACTCGTATGTTCTTTTTTCAGCTCTGGCACATGCCTCGCACCGCTCTGATAGTATGCATGGCAGCAAGCGCATGGCGGCAAATGGTTCTGTATTTTTACTCGTCGTGGCGCAGCAGTGGGAATGCAATCAGCTTGCAGCCGAGACACCCATTAGAACCTGCACAAGATTGGCCGTGGCAAATACTGCCCGGGGCCCCTTTTGCCTCGCCGGGCGGGGCGCAGGCGACATGAGATCGGACCAAGGTTAGCACATACCTGTCCTCAATAAGTGCTGGCCGGTTTTCCCACCAATTTGGCATGTGCAACGGCATGATTAACCCGCTGCGTAAATGATTGCGCATTTAGAGGGCGGCGTGCCGCAGCACGCCGGAGAGACGTCGACCGAGCGGAGAGACGGTGACCGAGCGGAGAGACGGCGACCGAGCGGAGAGACGTCGACCGAATGGAGAGACAGTGGCTGAGAGGAGAGACGGCGACCGAGCGGAGAGACGGTGACCGAGCGGAGAGACGTCGACCGAGCGAAGAGACGGCGACCGAACGGAGAGACAGTGGCTGAGAGGAAAGACGGCAACCGAGCGGAGAGACGGCGACCGAGCGGAGAGACGGCGACCGAGCGGAGACACGGCGGCCAAGCGGAGAGACGGCGACCGAGCGGAGAGACGGTGACCGAGCGGAGACACGGCGACGGAGCGGAGAGACAGTGGCCGAGCGGAGAGACGGCGACCGAACGGAGAGACAGTGGCTGAGAGGAGAGACGGCGACCGAGCGGAGAGACGGCAACCGAGCGGAGAGACGGCGGCCAAGCGGGGAGACGGCGACCGAGCGGAGAGACGGTGACCGAGCGGAGAGCAGCTGGGGCTCGCCGGGCCGTGCCGCCTTCCGACAGCTGTGTTTGGCCAAGGCGTGCCATGCTCGGGTCTGGCCACGGCCTCAGCGCGCCAGCTGCCGCCCGGCGGCGCCATGGCGTGCAGACTGCCAGGTGGACAGCGGGCCCGGCGGCCGGCGCTAGTGCCAGCCGGCAGCGGTCACGGCCGGCCCGACCCCGCCCAGTCCGGCGCGGCCCCGCCTCGCGGCCGTGAGGAGGGGCCAGGCGTGACGCCCTGGCTGGGGGCTGTGTGCGCTGTCATCGACGATGGACGAGCGGCTGGTGCAGCTCACCTTACAACTCGTGCAGCATCTGCTCAAATATGATGGTGCACAAAACTTTGCTAGTACTGATGCATTCCTGTGGTACGTGACGGTCAATGGGGCGGGGTTAGTGATGAGAGCATCACCCGCACGGTTCCTGTGTGTACGTGGTCTCTGAACAGTGTGCTGGCAATGCCACGTTCAAAACCGCATAGAAATGAGACTTCTGTACTTCTCTTCCATGTTGCGGCCCCTGCTAGCGACCATGGCTGGCTGATGGTCTTGACGGGCCAGACCACCTGCCAGACCAGACCACCCCATATTCATGGCATCTCTGTGCGATAGCCAGAGTCACGCAACGATCAAACGCCCCCGACAGTGGCGATGATGATGATGCTTTGCAGTTTTACGGCGCTTCGACGTTGAGGGTCATTTTGCGCCTATGGCTGGCGGTAGGAAGCGCGACATATTGCAACTTAAAAGAGGAAATGTAGCTGAAACCCTTACGTTTGCAAGAAATGAAAACAACTGACACGAGGTCAACAAGGAAGAGTCGTTTCGCCAGATGTCGAGATAAGTCAGAGCCTGAGCATGCCGTCTAAAGCGACCCAAGTGTTCTTCCATGCAATTTGCACAAGAGTAGAGCACGTGGCAAAAGTCATCTGCGCACTGCGTCTGGGGAGCTGGAGCCTGTCGTCGTGGTGCAAGAGGCACACGTATATTACATCCGCAGGCAGCATAGGATGACCTCTTCGGGTCTCGCCGCGCGCGGCTAAAGGTCCTACTGTGGCTGGATTGCCCTCAGTTTGTTCTTATCCTAGGTATCCCAACAACGCTATCACTTTCCTTTTACGTATGCCGTTATGAAGGGACAAACCTTTGCTGGACGGGGGAGACAGAGATCGCCTTAATCGTGCGTGCGCTGCCTGTGTGTCCGCCTCGTCAGTCAGCTCGTTGCCTGTAATGCCTACGTGGCTGGTGATCCGGTAGATCATATTTGTTTACCCAGCGCGATCAACTGCTGCAAAATGAGAACATCCTGTCAGAGAGGACATCGCGAATTAAAAGCTCTTGAACCCCAAACAGCTGCTACATGAGTCACATACAATCAGATACAACACGACGAAATGTGCCTGGTCACCATTCCCAATGAAGGAGAGCGCTTTCATAAAAACAACCAGCTCATGAAAGCACGTCTCTGTGTGCACCGAGGCGTGCGCTGACAGTGAGAAGGTTCCAGTCGCGGCGCTGCATACAAGTGTAGATCCGACACCAGCCTCTGGTTAAGAACCATCTGAATAAGTGCTGTGGTATCCTGAGTAGGAGTCATTGAGTTCTGAAGCCTTAGACCGCAAGTCACATGGGAGCGTATCCTGGTTAATTAGGGTGCGTTGATACATTGTAATTTAACATTAATTAGTGGGATAGGACCTATTCTCATCACGGTCCTGATTAAACAGACAATTACCAAGCAGGGATAAACAAAAAAGGCAATTCCCGGCGCAAGCAGCTTCCTCGGCGGAGTTAGCGGACGACGTAATCTTAAAACCCCACGCAAACTCCGAGCCTTGCCTTCATGGTATAAGTTTTGTATTTGCGCAAAATGCACAAAAGTGAACAAAGCTGTAGAGATGGTTGAGTTGACTATACACATCGCTAGAATTAATAAAAGTGAATAACATAATAACAAGATATCCCTAACAAAAAGCTCTTATTGTTGGCGTACGACAGCTTGCCATTTTCAGTTCACGCCAACAGAAAGCCAGATAGTCAAATCCAATGTGAGGTTAATTCCTTGCATGCGTCACCATGTGGTTAATGTGCAGGATTCTCCGAAAGTGGGGCGCCATGATGGCACTCACCGATGCCCCCCACCCCTCTCCCAAGCGTCCACACGTCCATGCGCTTCACACACAGGCATATCGGCGTTTCAGTCTCAGCCTTGGATCGTAGGCGCTATTTACACTTCAGCGTGAAAGTACCGAAGATTAGCGATATTATCCGGCTTTCCAGACGCCAACTGCCGGCTTCGAAGCGGCCATCACCTTCTCATTGTGGCCCGCCCCGAGTCAGCGCCGTCGCGGCCGCGCATTGCCCGGCAGCGGCCGCCGCCGCATGGTGGGAGAGATTACCGTGAAATGTGTCATGCGTGCTCTTTGAGCGGTGTCGGGCGGCGCCGGCTGAAAGGGAGCGTGTCGGAGTCGGCGGGGAGCGGCACAAAGGGGGTCTGGGGCCGGCTCCGCGGTCGCGGCCGGACCCGAACGCAGCCGGGCCGATCGTTGCAGCTGTGTTGACAGAGGCCAACGTCGGCGGCGATACCTTTGTCGCAGAGCAAACGGTGTCGCCGACCGAGGCAGGGACGAACAGACGGGCAGCGGGTGGAGACGGAGGCGGGAGGGTGGCAGGCAGAGTCAGGCGGGAGGGCGCGCTCCAGTTGGCCATATGGCAGCCTTCCCAGGTCACTAAGCCGACAGGCAGCTATTCAGCTGCGCGATACCAGTGGGCATATCAGTGGGGATTATAAGAGGTTTAGACGGCTAAGAGCAGTAGCCTTTTCACGGCAAGCGGTTTGTTCACGATGTGAGCTGAACTCGTTCTGTCAGGCCGTGACACCTGAACACCATACTGCCGGCCATTGATCACTCGCAGACGAGGGACAGCTGGGCTCCAGCGGTCCTGAGAACAGCGCCGCGCTCTGCCGAGACGACCTCCCAACTGGGTCACTGTGTTGTAATGGTGACGGGTCATCCGTCATAATCCACCATCCGCTGAATTGGGGATGGGAGGGAAAGTATACGTCCGATTGCTGATGGATCTAAAAACGGATCATCTGTTCTTGGCATCATCACCCTGCGAACGAAAAGACCTGCCACTGGGACCATGGCTACGTCACGCGCATCTGTCCACAGGATAGAGGTTGAATCCACAAGCTTATAAACAGCCAGTATGAGCTGCATTATGTCGCCAGAGAGCCGACATGGACGAGGAGCTCACAATTTTGTCGTCTCCCCTCATCGTGACGGTCCAAATTGGACGCCGTGGAGCGCGATGCGAGCCCAGCATCACCCGCCGCTTCACCTCTACCCATCAGCGCCTCATGACGCTCACACTGACGCCTGCCCCCCCTCGATAGGTGGCGACGTTACGCCGCGAGCTGCTGGTGGCGCCGGCCGCGGCGCGCAGTCGCCGCCGCGCCAGCCACTCCAAACGGCGGCGCCACCAGCGCACCGGCCGCCACCGCTTCCACCGACGCGTGCTGGCCGACGTGGTGGACGTGCTGTACAAGAAGCAGCTCGGCCTGGACGACCAGCTGCGCGCGGTCGACGAGAACGTGACGGCGCTGCGGGAGGGCCAGACGGCGGCGGCGGCGCGGCTGGCTGAGCTGGAGGAGGGTCTGGAGCGGAACGCGCGGCAGGAACGCCACCTCAGCTGGAGACTGAACGCCACGGAGGGGTGAGCGGGCGCTCCGTGCCTGTGGCACGGGCTAGGCCGCTGCAGAGCTCTGTCACAGCTGTCACCACGTGCAGACGTGTCGCTGTGCAGATGTCACCGCCAGACACGACGGGCTTGTCCGCATTGCAACGCAGGCTAGTGTGCACATACGGATGTGGACATGTCCAGCGCGCACATGTCGGCCCTGGAAGTTCATGTCACCGCCCGACGAACCGCGGTCTTCCCCGTCGCAGGAACAGCATCGCCAAGGCGATCCAGGTGTCGACGTCCGAGCTGATCCAGGAGGTGGAGCAGCTGGAGACGAAGCTGGACGGCAAGGTGGCGGAGATGCAGACCGAAGTGGCGCGGCTGGACGTAAGCTGCAGTCAGCTGACCAGCTCCGTGCAGGACGTCCAGGCGCGGCAGGCGGCGCTGCCCGCGCAGACAGAGGCCGTACGTGACGCTTCGCGCATATGTCCAGTTGTATATGACGCTTCGCAGATATGTCCAGTTGTATATGACGCTTCGCAGATATGTCCAGTTGTACGCGACGCTTCGCACATGTGTCCAGTTGTACACGACGCTTCGCACATGTGTCCAGTTGTACGCGACGCTTCGCAGATATGTCCAGTTGTACGTGACGCTTCGCACATGTGTCCAGTTGTACGCGACGCTTCGCGCATGTGTCCAGTTGTATGTGACGCTTCGCACATGTGTTCAGTTGTACGCGACGCTTCGCATATGTGTCCAGTTGTACGTGACGCTTCGCACATGTGTCCAGTTGTACGCGACGCTTCGCACATGTGTCCAGTTGTACGTGACGCTTCGCACATGTGTCCAGTTGTACATACCGTGTCGCACCGGGACAAGGGCGGTACCGGTGGCGCTCGGCTGTACCATTCGTCCGCCGTTCTGACGCCCTTACGCGAAAACACTTCTTGATTGTGCTGTAGGTGCCATTCTCCAGCCCTAGCGGATAATCGTGCACCCTGTCAGCGAGGTTCAATAGTTGTGCCACGCATCTGTAGTCTTAAAGCTATCAAAAGAAGCGCGGTAACAGTCAGAGCAGGATCGCAGTCACCGTCCAGTCAGCCATTAACACGCGCTCGGGTGGGCAGGTGTGGGGATGGGGTGGGGGGGGGGGAATTGACCCCCCTCCCTGGAAGGTTTTTCCAGGGTGGTTTCCACACGTGAGTTCACGTACAGGTCAACACACCCTGAATATTTGGCGTCTCTAGCTTTTTTAGTTCCGAGATCCTAGCGGGGGGGGGCGGGGGGGGGGGGGGTCAAATTGACGTCCCCATCCGAGCGAAGAGTATCTAGCCGGCCACCCGGGCGCGTGTTAATGCAGCCCATCGCAATGTTTGCTGGGCTATTTTCAGAACTCCAGCCGTTAATCAACATGGACACTCATCGACAGTATCAATCCCGTCAAGGCAACTCTGTCCATGTGCCCGAAGTCACACCCGCACTCCAGCAGCAAACCATTCGTGACGTTCCATGGTGCGTTTCACAGCTGAGGCAACAGGTGGCAGCGCTGTCGCGGCAGCAGCTGGTCGCCCGCTCCCAGCTGCTGGCCCTGCAGGGAGACGTGCTTACACTGGCCCTGGATCAGCCACCGGCGGGGACGGCTCTCGCCCCAGCGAGTCCACGAGACCAGCAGCTGACCACTGACACCAGGAACGGACTGGACAGGCCCGAACCGTGACGGCGCGCGGGACAGCGCGCAGCGCGCGCACGTTGGAGTGCCAAGTGTACAAGGTTTAGACGCCGACCGGCGCTAGTCATCCCATTGCTTTGCACCGCGTCTCTAGCGAGTTTGTCTCGTAAATTGCCGTGTGTCGTTGCCGTACCGGCCGTTGAGGTGGGCGCGTCGCGGCCGCCGTGTAGGGAAACCAGGGTGTGCCGTGAATCCGCTGTGGTTCCAAGCAACGTGATCTAAATGTTTTCACAGTCGTAGCAAAGATGGCTCCACTGACAGCGCGGTGTGAACCGCATAGGGTACTACGTAGCCCATTATTTGTAGTGTACACCACATATGTTCAGTAGTTGTACGCGACGACCGAGATGTAATGCCGAGCCAGCAGCTGTGCAGGGCTCCGTACAGCCGTAGCAGTGCACCGAGCCAGCAGCTGTGCAGGGCTCAGTACAGCCGTAGTAACGTACCGAGCCAGCAGCTGTGCAGGGCTCAGTACAGCCGTAGCAGTGTGCCGAACCAGCAGCTGTACAGGGCTCAGTACAGTCGGTAGCAGTGTGCCGAGCCAGCAGCTGTGCAGGGCTCTGTACACTCGGTAGCAGTGTGCCGAGCCAGCAGCTGTGCAGGGCTCCGTGCAGTCGGTAGCAGTGTGCCGAGCCAACAGCTGTGCTGTTGCCGTGTGCAAATAGACCTACAAAATGGCCGAATTGAAGCGTTGTGGCGCAAAGCTGATGACGTGTGGTAGTAGGGGCGCGCAATGACACATCGAACGTGATATCAGACGCCTGCTGCCCTGCTGGTGGTATCTATCCGCCAGGCATTTCTCGAAACACTAGTCTAATGACGGGTTTGCACGAGATACATTTGAGCGGCGGCCCAGACATCCCCTGCATCTCTCAGTTCGCCATGACTGCGCCAAAGAATCGACGCCACATAATACGCGACCGCTGTTTTCGCAAACTGCGCTTTCACAAGTTCCACCGACGCATTCGGCACTTCCGACAGCATGGTCTGTCCCGGAATACCTTAAGCTCGCCATGGTCTGCCCCGCGAGCCACGAAAACACGTCGTCATAAAATACTCTGTATTGGGCCATGATTGCGTAGCGCGGTGCAGAGACTGGGCCCGTGGGGTGGGGCCTGTGCTATACCCATGAATATCATGCGTCTGTCGTCGGCACACTCCCACACTCACAGAACCGGCTCAGGCGATGCGTCCACCCGAGACGCCCGCCGTCGAGAACGCGTCGCCATGGCAACCCGTCGGCGTCGCCATGGCGACCAGGCCTCGGCCGTCGTGCGCAGAAGATCAAAGCGTCGGTCGGGCCGGCACGTGCGCGGTCCACCGTCACAGCCTACGCGTTAGGACGCCCGGGTCGGCCGCAGTGGTCGCGGGCCGGGCCGCGCCCACACTGAACAGCGACGACGTCTGCCGCCAGGGGAGTCGGCGGCGCTGTGGTCAGCGGTCCCAGAGGCCAGGCGGGGTCGGGGCGCGCCCTCTGACCTGTTCTGCCGCCGTGCACGAGAAGAGGAGGCTGCCGACCGACGGGCGCGGCCACAATGTCAGCCTTGCCAGACCGACCGGCACGCAACTTAAGCCCAACCTTGTCACATATCAAAAGCCTTAAAGCTAATTGTGAAACGCGCTTCGTCAAGCAACATAAAACGTAAAAAGAACACCACTCGCCAGTAACTCACATGGTGTTTGGTATACATAGGTACACGCGGCGAGGGTCGGGATAAATATTAGCCCCGGCCCGGTTTGTCGGGGTAAGCGCTATGCATGTCATGGACTCGCGTTGTAAAACCTTTCAAAACAGCTGGTAAATATTCCGACCAAATGGCCTCACAGCACTCCTGCGTTAGGTGTGGCGCCAGGTGGCGTACCGCGGTCGACAAATCCGAAGGTGGCTAAAGGACCGCGGTCGACAAGTCCCAACCGACCAGGCTTTGCGGTCATCTACATAATTGGACCAGTGGCCGCGCCGCCGCATGGGTGCTCCATTGTGAAGGACACTTGTGACGCATGGTAGATAACCGCCGGTAGATAACCGTGGACGTGAAGCACATCTGCTCCATCGGGGTGATGCAGATCAGGGCACATCCGGCATGGGCATCCGGCACGGTAAATACCGGACAGTCCTCCCGGTACACGCCGGCCGTCCTACCAGCAGGCCCCGGTCCCCAGCGTCCGAGGGAAGGCCTCCCAAGAGGCCCCAACTCTGCAGGGGGCTGTCTCAGCAACACCAAACACGTGAGGGTGGACACCGCCTCGTCACTTCCCAAGCGCTGCAGGGTAAGAGCCTTGGACCACCCCACCCGGCCGCAGCCGGGTCTGTGTCTATCTCAACAGTGTCCCGAGGGGCATGGGAGGCACCGCCGCAGCGGACCATGGCCCAGCCGGACCGAGCCAGCGGCGTGCCCCGTCCACGCCTGGGACTGGCCGTCCCGTGACCGTGAGCGTGACTGAGCGGGCCGGCAGGCAGGCGGGCGGCCCGACCGAGGCGTGCCCTCAGCAGCTGGGGTGCAGCAGCACCTGCAGGTAGGCGGGCGGCCCGACCGAGGCGTACCCTCAGCAGCTGGGGTGCAGCAGCACCTGCAGGTAGGCGGTGGGCACGAAGCCCTCCTCGAGGCTGTCCTGACGGCGAACCCGCGTCCAGCCGTCGCCCTGGTCCAGCTCGATCACCAGCAGCTGCTCGCCCTCCTGCATGGGGATGGAGCCCTCGCTGGACGCTGTCGGAGGACGGGACGGGTCAGGCCGCCGCCTCGGTGCCGCCACACAGGTGGGATCAAGCCAGGTCGGGGCACGCGGCAGCGCCGCCGCGCGGAGGGTGGCACACGGCCGCAAGCCCGGCAGACTCCGCGCAGGGCGGATACGGGACACTTCAGGGCGTGCTCGCCGCCCGGTCAGACACTAGGACGTCCGGGAACCGTCATGATATCGCACGACTCACTGTGAGCGTGCGCAACGGGTCACGAACAGAAAACATCGCGTGGTCACGGGGAGTCCGGAGTCATTACATTACTGTACACCCGATCTTCAGCCTACAACAATGACCTCACGGCACGCGACAAAGGGTTGTCCTGCCACATACAGGCCCCCGGCAGTCATCACAGACCTCCCGACAAAGAATACAGTGGACCCGGACTGAGGAGCTTCGCCGGAACACAACGACTATTGTAAGATACGAGCGGTCTTGGAGCATCATCACATACTGGCGTTTGCTGGGATACGAGAAATGCGACTTCTATGTCTAACACGCAGACAAACCACTAACTTCAAAACGAGTCATGCCCGAAGCTATTACAGAAAAGTGCTGCCGACGACAGTAGAAATGTTGCTAACGAAGAAGCACTGGCAATCATACGAATAGCCGCATGCCAAGCCAACTTCATCTAAACAATGCAGGTTCCACACTACCACAACGTGACGGGCGTGCCGGCTGGGTTGCGCTGTTGAGTCACGCTGTCGTTCTGTAGGGCGCCACGTACCCGTACCCTGACCACACGAACACTGTCGTTCTGTAGGGCGCCACGTACCCGTACCCTGACCACACGAACACTGTCGTTCTGTAGGGCGCCACGTACCCGTACCCTGACCACACAAACACTGTCGTTCTGTAGGGCGCCACGTACCCGTACCCTGACCCCACAAACACTGGCATTGGCGCTGGGCATCCACGTGAGGTCCGAGGGTGCGCTTCACGGACTATGGAGGACACCACGCTGAAATAGCGACGCCCAGAGCACCCAAGTCAGCTTAAACCACGGCCTATGCACTCAAAGCTCGGGCGGCACTATGCACTATGTGACTCCACGCCACGGCCTGGTGACTCCCTATGCACTCAAAGCTCGGGCGGCACTATGCACTATGTGACTCCACGACCACGGCCTGGTGACTCCCTATGCACTCAAAGCTCGGGCGGCACTATGCACTATGTGACTCCACGACCACGGCCTGGTGACTCCCTATGCACTCAAAGCTCGGGCGGCAGGTTAAAAAAAACGCGTCGGCTCACAACGGGCTAAAAATCGGATGAATGTAAACCAAAATACCAATTCAATTCAATCGACGCTTGGGAGAAAATCGAAGCTACCACTCTTACACTAACTAGCACCACTTTACACGACACGATGCATTATACCAGGTAGTTATCTGCATATAAATCGTGGACAACGCAATAGGTAGAATGTGGATTGCGTACAATTAAGGATCACTGGTTACTGCAGCGCTGAAATATGAAACCCGGGTAAGAGCTGATGCCAATCAGGAAGCATACGGCTCCAGATCAAATGCAATACTCATGCTTGTTACACTTGTAAATGGAAGATGCATTATGTGAGCATTATCAACTATATACAAGGGAACAAGGTGACCTGGGGATCGCGCCGCTCCCATGTTTTGCCCACTGCTCCTCCTTTACTTGGCCTCGTCTCGACATGACCCTAAGTCATGGGGACCCAGGACCGTTTCTAACCCTATACTTTAGGTTTCCATGCCTTGATTATTTCAAGAACAAAAGACTTCTTTCGTCTAAATCACACTAATCGAAGAAAATCATGCCTTCGAACTTCTAAGAGAATAGCTGTGAATCCATACGGCACAAAATACGGCATACACAAAATTAAGGTTTTAAAATTGTAAATACTGTTGTTGAAAAAAGCACTAAGCTGCTACTAGTGATTGCCAACGTATTAACGTCTGGAAGTGTCAGGCCAGCGACCGGACAGGCTGTTCGGGTTTGAATTCTTCCTACCGTTCCAGTAAGCCCGCTCCACCTGCCGCCCCGGTCGAAACGGCGCAACCGTAACTGATACATTTATGTACGCTGCACTGCAGTACCAAACCCAAACCAGAGATTCTCTAGGAGCATTTCCTGTTTGTTGTTGAGAACATACAGCTAATCTTCCTTCCCCTTCGTCACATGACTTCATTTGAATGCGCCGTTTCGTCCCCGCCAGTCGAACCACCAGTAGTCAACGCCGACATGCCAAAATCTCTGCTGCGGTGGGAGCGGCCGACCGAGCCAACGTTCGGTGAGAGGTGAGACTCCGCCCGGCAAAGGAGAACGTAAATCCACCCACCCCACCAGAGCATTCAATGGGTTATCAAAACAAGCAGTTGCAGGGTCCTACCACAGGGCAATACTGAGCACACCACCAAACAAGCAGGCAGGGCGCGTGACACGCGGCGGCTACACCCCTGATTAGTGGCCAGGTCGGCTGAGAGGCGGGGCACTCCGAGCAGCGCCGGGGCCGACGCAACATAACACAACACCACACGCCAGTCGGGTGACCTGGGAACGGGTAGAGGCCGAGGCCCGAGCCGATCGGCGGCAGAGGCTGCCACAGGATGTCCTCCTCGTCGGCGGCCAGTGCGGCCAGCACGTCTGCAGGGCGTGGCATGACGTCACCGCCGGCCTTCGCCCCCCCCCCCCCCCCATCCTCCACCTCCCGCCCATACCGCCCAGTCGGCCCACTGCGTCACCCGTCGCGGATACGGTGCGGTGACGGAGAGCCACAGAACCCCAGCGCGGGGGGGTTTCTCAACAGCGGCCGCACAGCACCACACCGAGACTGGCCTCAGCACACAGAGCGCCGCAGCCCGAGGCCATGTGTCTCGTGCATGTCCATCGCAGTACGATGTACGACACGGCGGCTGTACTCACATTCGACCACACAGGAGACCGCTGCCGCCCCAGCCTCCCGCCCCAGCCCTCCGCCTCCTGCCTGCCACGCGTCCGTGGACTACACAGGAGACCGCTGCCGCCCCAGCCTCCCACCCCCGCCCTCCGCCTCCTGTCGCGCGTCCGTGGATCACACAGGAGACCGCTGCCGCCCCAGCCTCCCACCCCCGCCCTCCGCCTCCTGTCGCGCGTCCGTGGATCACACAGGAGACCGCTGCCGCCCCAGCCTCCCACCCCCGCCCTCCGCCTCCTGTCGCGCGTCCGTGGACTACACAGGAGACCGCTGCCGCCCCAGCCTCCCACCCCCGGCCTCCGCCTCCTGCCTGCCACGCGTCCGTGGACTACACAGGAGACCGCTGCCGCCCCAGCCTTCCACCCCCGGCCTCCGCCTCCTGTCGCGCGTCCGTGGATCACACAGGAGACCGCTGCCGCCCCAACCTCCTGCCCCAGCCCTCCGTCTCCTGTCAAGTGTCCGCAGACCGCCGCCAAGACGCTGACCCTCACCGTCGAAGGCGTAGAGCGCCTGCGCCGTGCCGAGCACGGGCAGCGGCTCGTCAGCGTAGTCCAGCTCGTCCTCCTGCTGGCCACGGCCGTCGGCGGCCGGCGCCGGGCCATCGGCCGCGTCCGGCGCCGGCGGCTCCTCCTCCGACTCGGAGTCCGGCAGGGAGGTATGGGACGTGCCCAGCCCCGACTCGGGGCTGTTGGAGCAGCTGCGGACGAGACGACGCGCGCGGTCAGGCCGACAGTGACCTCCGCGGCGGCCTATGAGACCCCGGTTCAAGCAGCACCGAAACAACTTCACTTTTGGACCAGGTCAATTGAGACAGCACGCCACCAGCCGGAAGTCGCGTTCGAACGCTCCATCTCAGCGAGCGACTTTAAACACAATCTTTATTGAGATACGCCCGTTGGAATACAAGGACAACGTGCATGTACATCAGGCCGTCCCAGAGAAACAGTATCAGAACGTACCCTCCCTCAATGCGTACCCGTGTCTGGAAGGCTGTGTGGAGGACCCCCCCGTCAATAAATACCCGTGTCCAGAGGGCCGTGTGGAGGACCTCCTCCGTCAGTACATATCCGTGTCTGGAGGGCCGTGTGGAGGACCTCCTCCGTCAGTACATATCTGTGTCCAGAGGGCCGTGTGGAGGACCTCCCCCGTCAGTACGTACTCGTGTCCGGAAGGCCGTGTGGAGGACCTCCTCCGTCAGTACATATCTGTGTCCAGAGGGCCGTGTGGAGGACCTCCTCCGTCAGTACATACCCGTGTCTGGAGGGCCGTGTGGAGGACCTCCTCCGTCAGTACGTACCCGTGTCTGGAAGGCCGTGTGGAGAACCTCCCCCGCCAGTACGTACCCGTGTCTGGAGGGCCGTGTGGCCCCCGTCAGTACGTACCCGTGTCCGGAGGGCGGTGTGGAGGGCGCCGACTGGCCGTGGGCGGCGGCGCCGGCCCGCGCCATCGACGAGTCGCTGGCGGAGCGACTGAGCGTGCTGTCCGGCTCGCTCAGGCTCGAGCGCTGGTCGCCGCCGTCCAGCAGTCTGCCGATACGCCGGGGAGGCGATCAGCCGGGACAGGCGCGGCGGAGGTCGCGGCATGGGGACGCGGTGGAGCTCGGGACACCGAGACGCGGCAGGGGGCGGGACACGGAGACGCGGCGGGGCAGGACACGGAGACGCGGCGGGGCAGGACACGGAGACGTGGCAGGGAGCGGGACACGGAGACGCGGCGGGGCGGGACACGGAGACGCGGCAGGGGGCGGGACACGGAGACGCGGCAGGGCGGGACACGGAGACGCGGCAGGGGGCGGGACACGGAGACGCGGCGGGGCAGGACACGGAGACGCGGCAGGGGGCAGGACACGGAGACGCGCAGGGAGCGGGACACGGAGACGTGGCGGGATTCGGGGCAAGAGGACGCGGTGGAGGCTTGGACACGGAGACACGGTGGAGCTCAGGATACCGAGTCGCGGCGAGGGGCGGGACACGGAGACGCGGCGGGGGTCGGGACATGGGGACGCGGCGAAAGTCGGGGCACGGGGCCGGGCACAGCGGGGTCAGGGCACGGGGATGCGCGAGCACGGACGATGTAGTATTGGTGATACGCGTGCGGTGCTGATCATGGCGGCAGCAGGGCCGCAGCGTCACCAGGGTACACCACTTGACACGGACAGCTAAGTATTTTGCCTTCCGCGAACGGGCAAGCCGTGCAGAATCTTACAGAAACACGACTGGCACAGCCTCCCACCCCGTGAGTCATTAACTATTCGCGCTGTTACACACACCTTTCACCGCCTGCATGTTACTATCGGCGCCCCAGAGCAAGGCCCGCTGCCAGGAGCGTAGGACTCAGTCCGTACCGCCATGCTGGAGTCCGACTGAGGCGCCTGCTCCGCCCCCGTTACAGCAACATTCCTTCACCTTTGGTACTTGTGCAGTTCGATCCGAAGCTTCTCCAGGTGTTGGGTGTTCTCGCGCAGCTGCGACTCAATGGTCATCGGGTCACCGAGTGCCGGGTTACCCTCGTACACGCCCTTCATCTTCATCAGGCCGTCCCTGCAACACATGGCAGACGGGTTACCCTCGTACACGCCCTCCATCTTCATAAGGCCGTCTCTCCAACACGCACGGCACCGGTTAGCCTCGGTGGTCATCGGATCACCCAGCGCCGTGTTACCCTCGTACACGCCCTCCATCTTCATAAGGCCGTCCCTGCAACACATGGCAGACGGGTTGCCTCGCACGCGCCCTTCGTCTTCATCAGGCCGTCCCTGCAGCACGCACGCCACCGGGTCAGCCTCCCGCGTTCCGTTCATCTTCAGCAGACCGTGCCTTAAGCGCACGGCACCGGATTCTGTCGCAAGCTGCCGCCAGACTGGAGAAACGGACAGCGTCCTGGGCCGATCCCCGTTTGCATGTGTGTTGCCTGGTGCTGGTTAACTTACTCACCGACATATTTTCGAGGAACCAGTAAACACCGCGACAAATTAAAACACCCACCGGACCAAGTATGGGTCATTTTACGCCCCACAGTCAACCAAGATCCGAGTACAACGGGCCATGCAAGGATGGCAATAGGCATCCCTGCGTGGCCTGTTGACCCTTGCCGCAAATGGCGATAGCGCCAGCCCAGTGGTGACGGGACATGAAGTGCTCGTCACCTGGCAGACGTCTCCTGGCTGATCTTCGAGGCCAGGTCGTCCATCCTCTGCTGTATCCTCTTCCGGCGCTGATTCGGCGGCAGGTTGTCCAGGTCCTCCTTCACGAAAGAATCGTACGTCGAGTTGGGCAGCGAGTTCTGAAAGGAGACGAAAATACACAGGCCGCACGCTACGAAGAGTTGTCGGATCAGTTTAACCACGCATTCCACGTTGCAATAACGGTAGTGAGGGAGATAGTGAGTCCTGAGAACCCCCGTCTCGAGTCGAAGAGTGCCACGCACAACACCGAACCCCGCCAACTAGCGTCTCTTCCAAAGGCAGATGGACAGCACGCAAGACGACGCAGAGGATCACGCTCCACGCCACTCGGTCTTCGGCCGTCTCTCCGTCAGCAGCCATCACAGACAGGCCACTCCGTATCCGGCCGTCTCTCAGTCAGCGGCCATCACAGACAGGCCACTCCGCATCCGGCCGTCTCTCAGTCAGCGGCCATCACAGACAGGCCACTCAGTATCCGGCCGTCTTTCAGTCAGCAGCCATCACAGACAGCCCAGGCCACGCTCGAGCGGTGCGTGCGGCGGCGGAGAGCGCCCCCAGACCACCTGAGGTGCAGCGAAGCGGACACAGCGAGAGTGCAGTTTGCCATCGCCGGTGACTGCGGCCACACCATACGCGCGAAGAGCGGCGTCAGAGTTAGTTAGCGCCGTGCTGGCGGCGGAGCGTCCGCCGGTCCGCCACCTGGCGAGCACAGCTGCACCTCATCTCCTCGCCGCCAGGTGGGGACACGCGTTCAGCCCCCCCCCCCCCCCCCCCCCCGGCGCAGCATGGCAACGCTGCAGGTGCGGGGTACCGCCGGTCAGTCACCCCGAAGCATGACACGAGTGGAGAGGCTGAGCCAGCACCCGCGCACCTCCCCACACGGCAACACCAGCGCCGGGGCGTGGTCGGTGTCCTGGAGATGAGAAGCAACGAAGCTGGGAACCACACAAAACGCCAGCGAAGCTCTGCGGCCTGCCGAAGCCAAGCCCCTGCCGCGTCGGCGTGGTGACTACTTACAACAGCGGTTACGGCGGCGGGCGAGCCGGCCCCGGCATTTCGGCACCACACCATGCCAGAGAGTAGACGGTGCGTTAGTGGGCTCCTTACCAGGCGAGGGCTCGCCAGGGTGAGGGGGTGCGGTCCAAACCACTGCGGACCGTGGGGAACTCCCAACCAAAGGGGGTGGTGAATGATGGTGACATGTACAGTACACAATAAGTAAACAAATTATGGGTTGCGAGGCAGGATTATGAAGGCGTTAGGCAGCCCGAAACCCCGTTATTATTATTATTAGTGGGACTTCAACATCACACACTTCAGCATCAGACAGATGGTTCTTTACCAGCTCCACACTAGGCGTTGCCAAAGTAACGGTCAAGGGTCAACCACAGTTGCCATACGCACATCCTCGAGCAGAGCCGCAGCCACTCAACTGAGCCTGCCACCGACCATTATCTACAGCATTCGCAGACCCTTGACGAGCGGCAAATATCAGTGTTAATTCCTTCACATCCGCGCCGCTAATTGCCGGTGTCCGCTGACGTTCACCATCACACTCAGCCGTCATTTTGCCAGCGCTGCGTTAAGCCACCATCCCGTCGGTGCCGCCCTTCTCCGACGCAACGCCACCAGCGCCGACGGTGCGCCGACGCACCACCAACCTTGCTGCCGCTGAAGATGCCGAAGATGCCGCCGCGCTTCTTAAAGCGGGCCGCCGAGAGGGTGCCCTTGACGGTGCTGGGCCGGGGCGAGCTAGCCGGCGGCGGCGGCAGCTGGCCCAGCGGCGCCTCGCCCGGCCGCCACTCGGACAGGTCCTCGAACGGAATGGCGTCCGGCGGCTCGAAGCCGGACTTGTAGCGCTCCACCACCAGCTGCGAGTCCTGGCGGCCGGCGTGGCACGTACGGTGGGCCGGCGTGGCACGGCACGGTGGGCCGGCGTGGCACGGGACGGTGGGCCGGCGTGGCACGGGACGGTGGGCCGGAGCGGCACGGGACGGCGGGCCGACGCGGCACGATACGGTGGGCCGGAGAGGCACGGCACGGGACGGGAGGCCGGCGCGGCACGGGACGGCGGGCCGGCGCGGCACGGGACGGTGGGCCGGCGTACCACGGGACGGTGGACCGGCGTGGCACGGGACGGCGGGCCGGCGCGGCACCAGACGGTGGGCCGGCGTGCCACGGGACGGTGAGCCGGCGTACCACGGGACGGTGGGCCGGCGCGGCACACGACGGCGGGCCGGCGTGGCACGGGACGGTGGGCCGGCGTGCCACGGGACGGTGAGCCAGCGTGCCACGGGACGGTGGGCCGGCGCGGCACAGGACGGCGGGCCGGCGTGCCGCGGGATGGTGAGCCGGCGTGCCACGGGACGGTGGGCCGGCGCGGCACGATATGGTGGGCCGGAGCGGCACGGCACGGGACGGGAGGCCGGCGCGGCACGGGACGGCGGGCCGGCACGGGACGGCGGGCCGGCGCGGGACGTTGGGCCGGCGCGGGACGGGACGGCGGACTGGCGCGGCACGGGACGGGACGGGGGGCCGGCGCGGCACGGGACGGTGGGCTGGCGAGGCACGGGACGACGGGCCGGCGCGACACCGGTCAGTCGGCCGGCGCGGCAAGGCAGAACGCGGCCGGTGGGCCGGCGCGGGCGGCACAGCACACGAACGAGTATGACGGGAGGACAACACTGGCTGCGACTGAAGCTGAGATGGGGTGACCATCGCCGAAGCAGAATGTGAACGGCAGGCTCGCTGGCTGGTGCTTATTGATATTTATTCCACTGCATGATATTCAACGGCGCAATATGACCGAAGAGGAAAAACATATTCAGGAACGTAGCGTTGAACTGCAACCTTTTTTAAACGCCATGGCACGCAACATGCAATTCCAGACCCATGATATGATCGAATCACCCGACTGGCACTCACGTCAGCTGATCACAGAGCTCTCCGTGCCGGGACCCAGCTCACCGAGCACACCAAGGCTGCGACAGCCACGGACCGGCCGGCCGTCGCGGACCGGTCCGCACCGGGACCGGCTCCGGCGCCTTACCTGGTCCGGGTCAATGTTATCGGCGGCGGCCAGGATGCCGTCCAGGCAGGTGTGGATGATGGGGAAGACGTGCCGCTCGATGCCGACGGCGCGCCGGATGTGGGCCTGCATGCAGCGCGCGCGCCGCTCGTCCAGCCCCTGCAGGTGTCCGAACAGCGCCGGCATCAGCACCGCGTAGTGCTGGTGCTGCGGGGAGGAGAGCCGGCGTCAGGCGACGGCGGCTGACGCGGTCATGTCAGTGGTGGGGAGCGGGATCACAGCCGACACCGCGGCTGAGGATGGCCGCTACGACACGGCATGGAGCAGCCTGCGGCCGTACAGCGCCGAGCCCACAAAAAATAGGCAGCCTCGTAACCTCGACGCCGTCCGCGCAAAGACACGTCATAAGGCCGACCGTCACAGCTCCACAGGGCTGTGACGGCGGGCCTCATGACGTGTCTTTGCGCCCCACATGACTCCGAGCCGTCACACAGACGGCCCGGCGCCCGACCCGACCCGACCCGACCCGACCCAAGCCGTCCACGACCGCCCACCTGGAGGTCATTTGTCTTTTGCAGCTGATTGGCGTACTCGTTCTTGCCGTCCTCGCACTGCTGGTTCTTGATGCTGGAGGCCATCTTCTGCTTCTCCACCTCGGCGCGGCTCAGGTTGAGATCGGCATCGGCCCTGCGGTAGGCGTCGAGAGCCTGCCGCAGGCGCAGCCTGTCAGGCGGAGGCGGCGCAGGCGGGCGCCGACACAATGTACGAGACTGGCACCGGCCGGACCGATCAGGCGGCAAATGGCGATCCTACGACGGGCTTATCGGTGATAGAAAATGAGAATTCAGCAGAAACGACATTTTTACTTCAGCACGATTATCACAATCACAGTGCAAGCCCATCCTACCAACACAAAGGCGTGACTTAAGCTGCAGTAAAACTATGCATCCATAAACGCATGCGTAAGTTACGCTGCCGTTCGGCTGCTTTCTAAACAAATGCCTCCGGTAAAACCACAACTAGCCTAGTGCACACGCGTGTCCAAACACCAGCGAAGCCGTTTTTGCGCCGAAGGGAACAAGAACCGGCACAGTTCATCCGTTTTGGTGGCGGCTCGTGTGGCGCGGCGGGAGATACGTGCGTCCCCGATCTGTCGGTGACCTCTGAGCTATCCGTTCGCCAAACCGGCGGCAGAACGCCACAAAACAGGCGCGGCAGACAAAGGGCTGAGGCTTACGTCAGCTCCCTTGCTCGCGGCGGAGTGCTTCGATCTTGTTTGTGTCGATAGCCGGCGTGCTGGTGCAATACCGGCGCACTTGGTCGGGAATAGTGGTACGAATAGCGAGCTGCCTGCGCTGGGCTGCTTGCTTGCAACTGTGTCATCCCGACCTACGGCGGCCCAGGCGGCAGCACCGCACCAGTGTGCAGCTCGACAAAATGTCAACAAGCCGTGCCTGTTGTCCTAACGGTCCTGGGTGTTGTCCCGACAGCCGTCCACCGCAGCCAAGCCCTCGCCTCGCCCGGTTTGTCTCGGGCCGTGGCCGTGGCCGGCTACAGTCCGAGGGCGGCAAGCGGCGGTCCCGGCCGGCAGTCACTCTGATCACCAGGAAAGTCGGACGGCGGGCGGCCTTGGCGGCGGCTCGGGCCGGCGGCCGGCCGGCCGGCGCCCCGGCTGACCCGGCCCGGTGCTGGCGCCCGGCGCTCGCCCGCCGCCCAGTTAGGCCGGCCGGCCGGCCTGGGTCGGGGCCGACCGGACCCGGACACCACAGCGTGCCGTTCTGAAGCCATGCCCAGCCCGAGCTGGAGACAAAGCTGATTTGACCGACCGTCGCTCGCACCGCATAGATGCTAAATGCCGTGTGACCTAAACCCCCCCCCCCCCCCTCTTCTGCCCTGCCGGAGACAAGTCGGCTTGGCGTGCTGATCCCAGCGTGGCGTCCCAGCGTGCCGCTCCAATATGACGCTCGGTCCCGCCTCACCCCGCCCGGCCCCGCCGGCCGGGGGGCCACGTCAGCACGTGCGCAGCCGGCAGCGCCGGATGTGCTCCCGATTCGCCGCCGACGCTGCCTCTTCCCGGCGCCGGCGCCGCGTGCCCGCGCGGCGGACAGCGGCGCGTGCCGGCCGGGCCGGGTCAGCGTGCCGCACAAAGGGCGACCTTGATCCGCCGGCGGCAGACGGGTCTGTCCAGCCCGCCGAGAGGCGGCGGCGGCGGCGACAATGACGAGCCGAACACAGGCGGGCTACGGCTCGACTGCCGTCCACCGCCGCTTCGTATCTACCTTCTCCGCTTCACGGAATGCCTTTTCATAGCTTTTCTTGGACTTGTCTAGCTGCAGCCGCTGGTTCTGGAGCTGCACGTGCAGTCGCGCGCCCTCCTGCAGCAGCTGGGGAACAGAGGAGCGCGGTTAGCCCGGCTTGGCAGCCGTCAGCGACGCTGTCAAACAACGAGCACACCACGCGCGAGCGAGCGCCGCCCGCCGACACCCGTCCCGAGCGATCCCGGCCAACACCCCGCGATCCGAGCCAGGTCGTTCCCGTGTTGCAACTCGAAGCGACACCCGACCGCAAGGCAGTTGCAAAATCATGAAGCCGGCCCGACCAGCTCGGTCGCCTTTTTTCCGGTCCGCCGGCGCGGCCGACCAAATACGGCGGCGCGAACGGCGGTGTTGGTGACGAGAGACGACCGACCCCGGGTGGCGGGGAGCTCGGTCACGACACGGGGGGGGGGGGGGGGGGGCTGGTGACCGGCTGTTGACCGGCCGCGGGCGTGGCGATCCAGTGAGGCGGGGCAGAGCCGTTCCACCTGGCCACGGCCGGAGCCAGGACACGGACCGGCACGCGGCCACGCCGGGTTGCCGTCACAGACTGATGCGTGGCGCATGTGCACAGGTGAACGCGATCCATGTATGTAGTGGGTCATATGCGAGCCATACTGTATTTTCGGTTAGCCGTAGTTTCGCAATCGCATGCTAAGAATGGGAATGAAATAACGTCGATGTGTGAACTCGTGCCCGCGAAACCAGTCATGGCATTGGTTACGACAATGACATCAACTAAGGAAGCTTCAAGTTCTCTCAGGCATTGCAACTAGTGATACATTCGCCGCACGCGTCGGCGAAGGCCGCCGATCACTGCATGACGTGGCCGATGACTGAGGCACACCTCGGCACGACCACATTCCACGCCTCAGACCGCTTCCACTGGATTTCCCGCGACGCCCCGGCCGTCCTCACCTGCTTCCGTTCATCCTTGAGCTCCTTGATGACGACGACGATGTCGGAGACGACGCTGGTGGCCAGCTGTTCGGCCACTAGCTCGTGCTGGCCGGCCAGATCGCCCACCTCGGCCAGCAGGCGACGGTACGCCGCGTGCACCGAGAACCTGGCCAAAGGTGCCGACACGTCAACAGGCAGAAGTACGGAACGGGGCAGCAGAGCCGGGCCGGATGGCTTCAGGGCTCGGGACGTCAACAGGCAGAAGTACGGAACAGGGCAGCAGGGTCGGGCCGGATGGTTTCAGGGCTCGGGACGTCAACAGCCTGAAGTGCGGAACAGGGCAGCAGGGTCGGGCCGGATAGCTTCAGGGCCGGGACGTCAACAGCCTGAAGTACGGAACAGGGCAGCAGGGTCGGGCCGGACGGCTCCGAGGCTACTTTGATGACGTAAGGTGAGAGGGCAAATAGGGTGGAGAGGATCGCAAAACACACTGCGTTCATGCAACACACGATCGAGACAGCTAGTAGATGTTGGCACAATTCTGGCACATCTGAGAGCTCGAGTTATCACAGCCACATCCGCACCATACCATCATTGCGACACTTTACTCGTAGCAAATTCCTTCCAGTGTAAGGATGCGTGGCACTGACATTGCACACGGACATCTGCGTGGGCCCATACCACGTCACAGAAGCGCACACCAACCGTCAGGCCACGTTCAGAGCTCTCGTGCGGGCAGGCAGCCGGTTTCCATGAAACCAGGACGATGTGAGCGTCAGCGTTGTACTGCTCATCGCCTGCTTAGGAACGGAGTGAACAGCCGTGGGCGGCGGATGCTGGCGAGTCAGAAGACTTATGTGTGCGGATCCGTGTTGGCGGCGATTATCTGGCGTCAGGAGGCCGCGCTCGGTCCTCCGCAGCCTAGTGCGCGCCGTGATCTGCAGGCGCCAATGCAAATCGCCGCCGCCGTGGTCTGGAGGTGATACCGTTGACTCGTTATCTAGTATCACTGCGGATGTTTAGTACGTGACCGCCGTGGTCTGGAGGTGATGTGGTTGACTCGTTATCTAGAATCACTGCGGATGTTTAGTACGTGACCGCCATGGTCTGGAGGTGATGCCGTTGACTCGTTATCTAGTATAACTGCGGATGTTTAGTACGTGACCGCCGTGGTCAGGAGGTGATGCCGTTGACTCGTTATCTAGTACCACTGCGGATGTTTAGTACGTGAGAGTTCTGTAAGCTACGTATTGTACCATTGTTAGGTCCCAAAACGGACCGCCTGCCGCCCGTCTGGCTAAAAAAGCCAAAGGCAGAATTACCTGACAAACTAGACCCGCACGGCTTGCACGGCGCGTTCAGGGTACATGCAACAAGCTTCACTCAGAGGCTATAGCTGCGCTCTGCGAGGCGTACGTTGCCCGTGTAGATCATCATAATTTCAGATCACGATTTTCGAACGAGGGACAAAAACGACACACTGCGAGCCGACGAGCCTGGAACCTCAGCACCGTCACAGCCTCGGCCGGCGCCCACAACTGACCACGGGATCAACCTCCACAGTCCAACTCCAACTGGAGTTAATCCTATACAAAACCCCGAACGGGGACCAGTATATCGATCGGTACGGAGGCCCAGACGAGAGGTGAATCTGCCAACACGGAGCCCCAGGGCAGCGAGCAGATCGACCCGAGGGAAGTCCCCAGCAGAACCGGAAAAGGCGCAGCCCCTCGTGGGAACGGATTGTGAGGCCACAGCCCAGACCACGGCGGGTGCAGGGAGGCAGCGATTGCTCCATCCTCCCGCACCGACCGCCTCAGGCGCAGCCGCCGGCAGGAGACACGTGTTTGGGACGGGGCGCGGCGCGCACATCTCGTCACCAAACGCGGCCGCCGTTCGACCGAGCAGACGCGGGGACGCTGCTGATGAGGAGCGGAGCACCAGCGGGACTCTGGGGCTCTCAGAATTAATCGCATGGGGCTGGTGGCGTCCTAAGGGCGGCCTGGCACGGCCCCTGCCGACGGCGGCTAGCACACGGCTGGGAACTGCAGATCGACAGCCAGGTCAGGGGATCAGTTCGGCCCCCGCCGACGGCGGCTAGCACTAGGCTGGGAGCTGGAGATCGATATTCATGCCGGGGGGCCAGCTCGACCCCGCTGACGGCAGCTAGCACGGGGCAGGGAGCTGGAGGTCGGCAGCCAGGCCGGAGGCCCAGTTCGGCCCCCGCCGGCGGCGACTGACGCGGGGCTGGGAACTGGAGATCGGTAGCCAGGCCGGGGACCAGTTCGGCCGCTGTCGACGGTGGCTAGCACACGGCTGGGAACTAGAGATCGGCAGCCAGGCCGGGGGCCCAGTTCGGCCCGCTAACGGCGGGTAGCACTGGGCTAGGAGCTGGAGATCGGTATTCAGGCCGGGGGCCCAGTTCGGCCCCGCTGACGGCGGCTAGCACGGGGCTGGGAACTGCAGATCGGTATTCAGGCCGGGGGCCCAGTTCGGCCCCGCTGACGGCGGCTAGCACGGGGCTGGGAACTGGATATCGGTATTCAGGCCAGAGGTCCAGTTCGGCCCCGCTGACGGCGACTAGCGCGGGGCTGGGAACTGGATATCGGTATTCAGGCCAGAGGTCCAGTTCGGCCCCCGAGGACGGCGGCCAGCGCGGGACGACGGCGGCTAGGTTCGCGCAACCAGCGCCGGCAGCCGTGGCGGAGTGAAGGCCCACCGGCAGCAGCTCATCTGCTACAGGCAGTCAGCCCGCATTGCGGCCGGCACCACACAAGGCATCAGAACACGGTGGAGGCACAACCTTGACCCCACTTGTCCGAACGTTTGGAGAAGAAATGCAAGATCTTCGCCGACACCATTTGAATGGGGACCAGCCTGGATGCATTGGACACCCACGCGGAGTCAGCAGGGCTGGACTGGTGCCGACACTGGTGCAAGCTTGCAATACAATCGCGATTCGGAAAACGTCCAGATTTCCTGGTTCGACAGTGACAGGGCTGCGATCATGCTGCCAGCTCCAGTACCACTCTAGTAAACCGGTGTTCACGCAGCGCCGGTTACTGTCACTGCGCTGCCGAACCTTGGAAGTTAGAGGCTCTAGACTGGATAAATAATGTTCATAGATAAACGCCATAATTAGGCGTCCCGAAATGACACAACACACCCAGACAATACCGCGAGTGACTTTCAAGATTCCAAGCAGTGTCATCCCACAAAAGTAGCCGATCCAAAGACACCCTCTGGAACTCATCAATCACGCCCGTCGGGCAGAGAAACTTCAGAAAGCCCCCAAACTAGGGATTTATTCATCTGGCAGCCTTTCAAGGTTGTACATCGGCGTAAAACCGCTCCGCGGCAGACCGCAAGTCTCGCGCGGCTCCGCTATTGGCACGAAGTCGTGACAAATGTCCTCCGAGATAATGTAGCCGTAATGCAGGACACAGCTGTGCCAAAAATACTCCCATATCACGTCCGTTTTATTACGGTAACGTACAGCCTTCCAGGAGGTAAAACCTTCACGGAAGCGTGATATATTGGGACGTCGTCGCTACCTTAATCATCGACAACTGTCTGGTAGTCTCATTAGCAACATTTACAAGGAACCCGCTGGAGTCGTTTAATCTTCCGCGGATCTTGCCCCCAGCATTAGCAGCTGGTATGACAAAGCCCAATCAACGGATTGGCCCTCACACGCCTGCAAACAAACTATCGTGTCCCTTATGCATGTCATACGCACGGTGCTCAATTGGTTGAAGTGACCATGCTCTCTCCAGCGCCATTCGTCATATGAAAAGTATTGTTTGCCACCTGCGCCAACTTTCACCTTCTGCTGGGCGTTTCTGGGACCAAATCTATATTAGTTGTTATAAATGGCAAAAGTCCAAGCTCCTGCATTTTCGACAAGTTCCTATGCCGAGCACAACGGACATTCAATATACCAAAGGGCGATGACCACATTCAAAGATATAAAACAAAGCAACATATAAAAATACCCTGCGTTCCCAGCTGAGTCCAACGTCGCTGGTTACTATGCACACAACTGGAACCGTTGTGTATTTCATAATACAATGTGAGGATTGCTCAATGGCTTTGTGATCCCTTTCAGGGTTCATCATATTTGTTGACTAGTGTGACACATTTATTGCACTGTTAAACAAAGATGTCAAAGTGGTGTGCTGCATGTCGGGTACTTTCAGCATGTAAGCCTACAATGCAAACATATGTTGGCGAGGACAGGATGCTTCCTACTTATGCCTTAATTACCTTAATTAATTACCTCCAAAATTGGCAAAGGACACTGGATGCTCTAAAAATTGCTTCTTATTGTTACTATCAAAGGTACGGCTCTAACGGTGCATCAAAATTACAGTCAAGTGCACTCAAGTCTTCTCTGTGGTTGGAAAAGAGCTGAAGACATTATCTGTGTTGATGGAAACGTTCGTATCATCTAGCCCGAGTGATATCCACAAACGCATTTGATAACGTCTGGTCGAAGGTGCGCCGTTTGATTACACATCCTGTCGATCTGCGCGTTGGTGTAGTCATCTAGCATCGATATGGGTACAAAACGCATCTCCGTGCAAGGAATCCCAACGCAACGAATTTTCTGAAGGAATCTCAGCCACCTGGGTATTCTGGACTTGCACTGTGCTAAAAAAAATGTTCGTCTGCTTCTTCACCCTCTCCCCCCCCCGCTAAAAACCAAGATTTTAAACGAAACGCGTCACATGCAGTGCACGTAGTCGAAACCTACTTGGAATCCAGGCTGGCAGACATCTGATGTAGTATAAGGATGCCAGTTTGGAACCTGCCAGTCTCTTGAGCACAGGACGTTAAAATGGCAGGTACCTACGCACATACAACTAACGACGCATAATAAATAATTAGGACTGAGAACTGAAAAACTATATTACTTTGGTAAGAATAGAGGCATTACCACATAATGCGGTAGGTCACATATGCCTAAATACCATTAGGCATGCTGTAAGTGTTCTATTGCCCTGGGTTATTACCGCATATAGAAACGGATTCCTACACAGCTCACGCAAAGGTTCGTTTGTCACATGTTGGTAACAAGAACATGTCGTGATCCTGTCACGGGACACAAGTAGGGTTTTTCTTTGGTGCGTCACGTCCGAACTTCTCTTTTATCTTCGCCGATTGAAGTATGGGAACATGCAAGGAAATCACAGCACCATCCTACCACCACCTGCTTGCCCGGACCCCCTGCACCACATTTATCAAAGCTGTGTGGAGGAGCAAAATCAAGCCTAACAAGTCGGCTAGAGTAGGTCAGAGCACCCTTTACGTAGTGTCTGCAGTTCGAAGAGCTAAAACAACAGCCCTCGGGCGCAGCACCGCGGCGGCGGCGCCAGCGAAAGGCGCCAGGTCATGACCTCTCCGCGCCTGTTGTCAGAGCGACCGTGCCTCCTGATGACCACAGACGGTTCCCCTCCGCTGACCTGACGCGGCGTGACGGCTCCTCCGCTGTGATCTAGCAGCTGACAGCTGGGAGACGCTCACTGGCCAAACAGCAGGTGAAAAGAAAGCTCCCGGGGTCTCGACGTGTCGGCAACATTCGAAGCGGCTTCAATGACACCCGTGCTTCCGCCGCCGCTGCACTGGCGTTGTTTCCTTAGCAGCCGCAAGGTGCGAGAGGTGCAATGTTTCGGGACAAAACACGCAAGGATCCCACAAGAACCCGTGTCGACACGGTTTAGGTGATTTGTCAAGCAGGCCAGAGGCATCATATGTGCCCACAAATTTCCTTGAATCATCCTTAGTACATCAAATATTCTTAAGCCTTACACGACGTAGACTACTATAGGCCAAAATCAAAAGTGACGACATATAAGAATTTGGCTCTATAAAAGTATCTGTTCAGCCCTGTGCGATCCATTAGCACTTTGAGCGTTCTGGCCATTTTTCGAAGAGCTCTCATATTCCGTTCAAAATTTCAGCTTTCCCGATTTTTTTCTCGTGCCAATGCCGTATAAATAATTTTGGGTGCTCAACAACCCTTGTTTGATTGTATTCACCTCTTAGAGGGTTTGATGCTTTCAGTCGCTTTGTGACCAAATGCCTCGTGATCAATCACACGGGCACTTATAATACAAAACTTTGGTACCGCCATATTACGCGTTGCATCACAATACAGCGGAACATCATTATGAACATAACGATACGGCAGACACTGCCGGCTATGACTGGCGAATGATGTACGTTCCAGCTTGTCAAGAACACCCAGAGCACGGTCCCGACAACATATGGCGAATTATCTAGGGACTTGCACACATCCGTTCTGTGGTTGGCCGACAGCCAGCACGCCGAAGGCGGCGGCCATGATGATAAGTGCTGTTTTCGCCTTTGACCAGGTTTTATGGCTGGAAATTTCGTGAGCGTGATCTGCAGATTTTGGGGTTTGAGCACCCAAGGTGCATAGTGTGTTGTACTAATTACCCGACATATTTCTTATTTTATGTTTATCTAACGCTTTCGGTGACCCAGATGCACTTGCTCACGGCACGTACAACAACCGGCCAGGCGCCTTCACCGCAGTTACCCTCCGCGACAACGTGGGAGATTGCATCGCGTTAATGCAATTGAATGGAGCGTTCCACATTTATATGGGGGTTTCAACTGAAAAAGCCATCTTGAAGACCTCTTGGGGCTGTTCACAACCCTGCCCTTCTTAAGACCTAGGCCCCTTTAGTACGCGCCTGCGAAAATGAGGATACCATTTCGGGGAGAGTATTTCAAGGTCACCTTGGCATTTACCCAGCTATTTTAACGCCATTCAAATTCTGCCCTTCAATAAGCCACGTGGCGATCACGGCCAAGAAAAGTATAGTTGGCGAGGCGGTCATATTTGGCGCCTGAGGTCGTGATTTCAAAATGTAACGGCCGTCAATTGGCTCTCGATCAATGTTGTGCAAGGTACGATAACGTTATCAAACCATGACGCATTGAGAAACATATTTCTTGAACAGATAATTGAGCCGAAGAACAGTCTTTTCCACTTAAAAAGTATACCACTTGTTATAAGTGTGCTGGTTTCATCATGTCCGACGCTTGCTTCAATGTCTTCAAATGTGAAGCATTCCCTTAAGTCATCACTGCCGCACCCTGCTTAATTTTCGGAAACCTTACAGCAAACCGAACTCCTCTGGAGAACGTGGCCGCCTGCTGCGCGCGCAGCAGCGCCGTTTCTGCTCCGATTGAGAGCGATGGGTCCTGCGCCGGTCTGGCGGCGCGCGCAGCGACGGCCGCCAGCCGGTCACCATGTCACCACGCGCGCCCGACGCGCCCGTTTCTCCGGCGGCTGTGACACGGCGCCGCAGCCGACATCTCTCCGAAAGGCGGCCGGCGCGGCGAGCGGCCATCTGGCCGGGCGGCGCACCGGCCGGCAGAGAGGCGCCGCCGGAGCATGCGGCAGGAGCGGCCCGCCGACCGGCATCCTCCCGCCGCGCTGGTGCTCGGCACTGGCCGGCGCGGCAACCTGACGCCTGCTCTCAGCCTGGTACCCGGTATATCCAAGTCCGGTGCTGGTGTCAGGGACAGCGCTGAGCGACTGATGAGAGCGCCCGCCCCGGGCTTGCGCGAAACGGCGTGGATTCGAACCTGGCTACCGACCTACGGCTTCGTCGTCCCTCATGGCAATCTGTAAGGCACGTAATCTAAATAACCACAGACTGAAGGCATCGTTAAATCATCCGATCACCCATGGTGACGTCAGCATAGCGGGCAGTGCCGCACCCTAGCGGCGGGTCACAACCAAACCGCCATCCCCCAAACCGCCAAACCGCTCGCCGGTCAGACAAGCAGCGACTGATGCCTGCAGGCGGCAGCCGTGACCTGCCTGCCGCCGGGCGCCGGCGGCGAGGGGCGGGACCGAGCCCGGTCAGCCGGGCCTGGGCCGGAGCTGCGCGCTGACAACGTCCTCCCCCCCCCCCCCCCCTCCGGAGCCCGTCAACCGCACACGATCCGACACGGCCGCTCGGTCGACGTCGTCGTCCGGCTGCGGCCGCCCGCTGCCAGACGGGTTACGCCACGGCGGCCGGCACACAAAGGCGGCCGCGGAGGCGGCGCGGCGGCGAGGCGGAGGTCGGTAGGCCGACCACGCCAGCCGCAGCCACAGGCGGCGAGACGACCGGCTGCGCGGCGCCCGCCCAACGGCCGGCCGGCCGGCGTGAGCGCCACATCACGTCATGGGGTACCCCGCCGGAACAGGGGCGGCGCGGCACTTACTGCATGTCCTCCTCCTCCTTCTTCTTGGGGACATACTTCTTCACCAAACCCCTGGAAGGGAGAGGCGGCGTTAGGGCTAGACAGGTGTGGAGCATAAGAAGTTTGCTGCGGCAATGTCGTGAGATGATCTCACCATGACAGAATGACAGCATGTGAAGTACAGAAGGAAACGCCACTTTTGGGAACCGTAACTCTCTTAAAGTTCCATTCCATACATCAGTTTACAAACCGCGTGAACAGAGCTCATTCTCATATTTCATTACCCTTTGTCTGGGATAGCTGCGGTGATTTATGGTTTGGAATTCTTCTGCTGTCAGTAATCGACCATCAAAATACCAAGAGGCACGTTATTAAGCAACACTCAGTTATACAGGGTGACCCCCAAAAACGGGCCACACGCTTTCTGCGATATATGAATGGCGATTCATTCACTAATCACCATCGTTTAGCAGGGCGTTACAGAAGCAACGCCTGTGAGCACAACTAGGCCTCAATGAGAGATTCAGCAAAGAATGTACTGCGTCCAACATTACAACACAAAAGGCTCGTTTGATAAAATCCACGACACCTTCATGCGACAGTCGAATGTGGGAAGGCTCACTACGAGAGCACAATTCAGAACAGGGTTTACCACTTTGAAAATTATGGGACCGTGGAAAATTTCAGTGCAGCTAGTGGAAACCATCCAGTCTACTCAGGACGCCATAGGAAGCGCACAGACAAGGGCTACAATCTTAGCCAGAGGCATGTTTGAGCCATTCATCGAAGAATCTGGCGCGACAATGGCAGTCACCAAGTAGCGGTAGGTTCAGACTCTTAAAACCTTCAAGAATGAGTTAAAAACCCTATAACCGTCGCTTGTGAGATCGTTCTGGTTCCAGCAAGACAGAGTGAGCTCTCACCCCGTAAACCTGTTCCGAGATTGACTGAGACAACTTCAGAGGCCGTGTGATCAGTCTCATTGATTGATCTCAGTCCTCATCCCAGTCTCATCTTATTTTGAGTGGGCACCTCATATCCCAGAGGTTAGACCCCCCCCCCCCCCATATTTCAGCCTCTGCGGCTACCTAAAGAATAGGGTGTACGCAGTGAGACCCAGGACCATCACGGCACTCAAGGAAGCCATCAGGGAGGAGGTCAGAGCCATTCCTTGATCGGTTTGTGATGACGTCATGGATAGCCTTGTGCTGCGCCACAAGAAATGCACGGAGCTAAATGAACGTCATCTCCAGCGCATACTCTAGAATGAAGAAGAAAAGGCAAATATTCTTATGTTTTGCTATGATATTTTAAGCCTAATAAACTGGTTATAACCCAGGTTTCACTCAGTTCTGACAGAAAGCTAAGGCATTAAGCCTGTCGAAAGTTGGGAGCCGTTTTTGGGTCCCTGTATTGTCAAAACCTTACGCAATGAACTGCGCCCAGGGTCAACAGACCAAGGTCGATCGAGACAATGAACGAAACTTGAAGCGTCAAATTTCCACAATGTGACAATGTTCCTTGATAACGTCCGCCGACCCGTACATCGTAGTCTCATGAGGGGCGATCAATGTCAGTACAAAAACTCCAGACTTATCATGCTGAAAACTAGGAGCTCAAAGCCTTTCTTCCTTCGCCATGTGCCAATATTACCCATTGCAGTTGACGCACCCCTACACAACTAAAAAGTCTACTATAAATGTAACAAATCCCCGGGACCGACACATGGACATATATGGTCTCACTTGTCGCATGAACCCACGGAAAATCATGCGTTCCGGGTTTGGAGTGAAAGCGACGAACAGCACTTGATACCGAAAAAATGGTGGGCGGCAAGCTTTCATAAAGCATGGTGATGGTATAGTACTGTTGATCTCACGCCACCTGACTCCCGAGGGAATGGGTGAAGACTATAGCTACCTGTGCGGCGCGTAGGTCCGCGATTCTTACAAAACCAGTATACCGCATTTCAAGCGTGGGTAAATAACGCATCACCACGAAAACATTGACTTCCCCCATCATACATTGGAAATAACTAGTGAATGAGAGAATGAATGTGTTGAGCCAATGACAACAACACTTCGCATCACGCCTGCTGACGCGTGAGGGTAGCTTGCGGACTGTCCTAGCAGTTGTGAAGGTAGCTTCTAGCCTACCCTAGCAGTCATGAGGGTAGCTTGTGACCAACCCTAGCAGTTGTGAAGGTAGCTTGTGGCCTACCCTAGCAGTCATGAGGGTAGCTTGTAGCCTACCCTAGCAGTCGTAAGCATGGCTCGTGGCCTACCTTAGCAGTCGTGAGGGTAGCTTGTAGCCTACCTTAGCTGTCGTGAGGGTAGCTTGTAGCCTTCCCTAGTAGTCGTAAGTATGGCTCGTGGCCTACCCTAACAGTCCGTGGCCCACCCTAGCAGTCGTGAGAATAGCTTGTAGCCTACCCTAGTAGTCGTGAGGGTAGCTTGTAACCTACCCAAGCAGTCGTGAGGGTAGCTTGTAGCCTTCCCTAGTAGTCGTGAGGGTACCATGTAGTCTTCCCCAGCAGTCGTGAGGGTAGCTTGCAGTCTTCCTTAGCAGTCGTCAGTGCAGCTTGCAGTCTATCTTAGCGGTCGTAAAGGTGCTTTAAAGCTTACTTTAGTAGTCGTGAGAGTGCCTTGTAGTCTATATTAGCAGTTTCTGAGGCATTCGAGACAGCACCGAGTCAAAAAGTAATATATAGCTTTCTGGTTTGGGCGACATTGAGCCGCGAACGTTACCGTCGTTCGTGGGCGTGGGTTGAAAGAGTTCGGCAAGATCACAAAAGAGTCCAAATAAAGACATGAGGTTACGTACAGCCGCAAAAGCCGCAAAAAGCATCGTTAGTCGAAGACATTATGTAACGGTCGGTGTAAAGTCGGATCCCCATCCCTGCGTGCGCACCGAGATCAGCAGCCAGTACGAACAACGCGGCATGCCTGGGTCTCCGGAACCACATAGCCGGCTCTCGAAACTTGTTTTCGTTTTGTAACAGTCCGACATGCGACGTCAGCAGGTACAGAGCCGGCTTCTAGATACCAATTGGAGGTAACCCGATAACAGTCTCCAGACAGTGACCAAAACGTTTGAAGCGATTGGGACGTAGTAAGCCAAATCAATGGCCTTCCTTGCTCGTATGTCATAAATCAGCCAGGGCCTGTCCTAGGTGATTCAGTTCCACTGCGAGAAGTAAACAGGCTACACGCATCAGCTGAGGAAATGGTGGTTCATTGAAGCTTCTGACAATAGCCATTTGAAATTCAAATGATTTGACGCTAAAACTTATCTTGCCCGAAAACACGACACTCAGTTGCGATTCGAATCGTTGAAACCGGTTGGTGGAGACGCACTGCTTGGCTTGTCAAGAGCTGCGGCAGCTTGTCCTCCACCAAACCATAAACATAGCCCGCCGATTGTTTTATGGGCCACAGTTTGGGCTACTGTGGCCCTTGGGATGGGTAGCTCCGCTTGGAACAAAGTGACACGCGCATTAACTTCACCAGCGGGCCCATGAAACGACCGGCAATGACGCAGAGGCCAGTGATTCCCCAAGCCCCGCCTGCAGATAACAGGACGGCCACGCTGCGCAGACGCCGGCGCACTCCCGTCCAGACGGCTGGCTCTGACAACGCATCATCAGGCAGACCAGCACGGGCGTGAGGTGCCGCCGGATGGACGCGGGGGCCGGCACCGAGGGCCGCCGGCGCACTCCCGTCCAGACGGCTGGCTCTGACAACGCATCATCAGGCAGACCAGCACGGGCGTGAGGTGCCGCCGGATGGACGCGGGGGCCCGCAGCGAGGGCCGCCGGCGCCGCCGTGTTGTTCGGAGCCCGCGGCGGGCGGTCTGACGGCGTGGTTCGCGTGAGAGCCGGCCCGGCCCGCCCGCCCCGCCCGCTGCTGCCCCACTGCCGACCGCACCAGTCACGCTAACAAGGTCCACAGGGGCGAAGCTGATCGAACACGGCGGCATGAGCAGCGCGCGCCTATCTCCACCGCGGAATGGCCTGATGGCCGGCACGCAGCGCCGCTCCCGATTGGCGGCGCGTCATCGGCCCGACGGCTCTGATCGGGGTCAACGCACCCACACTTCTTGCGCACACGTGCACTCCTCGTCGGCCGTATTGCGGCAAAAGCCAGCCTGCATGGACGCTACATGGACATATGGACACTACATACACGCGAATCGACGACCGGCACCACAGCAGGGGGATGATTTCGCGATATAAGTTACTGCGCCCCTCGCTTCGACCCATACAGGTATTGAGTTAAAACTGCAAAGCAATGAGCTTACCGAAAAATACGTGCTAATTTGGTCATGCTACAAGTTGCGGAGTCTTAGCCTCAGTCGTCGGCAATCTTTCTTTCAGTTACTTTTGGGAAAAAAATGAGCATTTGGAAACCAGCTTTAGCCGTAACACGCGCCGCATGGAACAGGAGCAGAACAAAGGGGTAGGTACCTTCAGCTGTGCGTCTCTCAGCCGTTCCACAGTTTTAAGACCGGACAAAAGGCGAGACATGCGAACTTTTGAATTCTTGGGGTTTGCTGTAGTGGAAACTGGTCCTTTAAGTCACAATATTCAGCCTGTCATAAAACAGACAACACGGGACGTTTTGGTGCACCCCCCAATCTCCTCCAAAAAGCCATCACCATGCAGATGAGATACAAAACCATACAATGCAGACGTTGATTTGGGTCATAGCAGGGACGGCGTAGAACAACAATTCAACGCCCTTTCTTCGTGGGTACACATAAGCGCACACAGAAAGCACGAACAGACAGACGGGAGCAGGCACAGCTCCATTACCTGAGGTCGGCAGCATATCTGTTTTCGACGTCACACCGGTCCTTCTGGAACCGGCTGTACTTTTCCAGGAACTCCAGGCCCTTCAGCGTGTGGCTGGACACGTTATCGAATTGATCCTGGCAAGGAAGGGATCTGTTAAGAAACACAAAAAAGCTATGCAGGTCAGACCCAGGCACGTGCCCGCAAAGATGACATCCTACGTGACAATCAACAAACTAAATGACAGAAACTACAGCCTTTACGTTATAAAATACTTGCGTGCGCATGCGCGCTACAAAACACGTGGTACATGACCGTGGCAGTGCGGCTGGCGTCGTCCGGTCACAACGTGTTGAGAACTGTGCGTGTTATCAGCACCCCGCTTTGTTCATCGGTTGCTGCTTGTGACCGGTCCGGCAAGTTCGTCCTCACAACGGTCGGGAATAGGTGACCCCGGCATACGAAAATGACGTCATTCAAGGAGTAGCCTGGCATTACTGACCACCGAGACTGCCGCATGGTATTTGTGTGGTTTTGGAGCAAAGTTCCGCGGCGTGCAAGTTGTTGCAAGTTGGACGGTGCGGATAAAAGGGCCGACTTGTATCTAAAACGTGTGAGCCAAATGCATGCTTATCACAAATTGGGAGCGTGTTCATGGAACGCGGTCTCTTATTTGAAGCCCTGCTGATGCCACATTGCAGGCATTTCTTTAAATTGCAATTCGTTTTCAGAAGAGGGAAATCCTTTGTTGCAAAGGTGCAAGCCTCATCCCTTAACCCTATATCTGAATATGCACATTGGCCGCAATGACGCTGAATCATGTAATAACATCAGCTAAATGGGTACCGCACATTGCCGTAAAACTAAAAAAAAGAAAGTAGCCAAGAAGGTATCTTACAAAATAGAAAAAGTGGTCATTTTAGCAACGCTTAAATGAGCTCGGCGCACCACTGCGGGCACTATGCAAACCACAGACGAACAACTGTTTACAGCGCTATTGAGTTTGTGTTTAACGGGCCATAATCCGCCGGTTCCCTGACCAACTGAAGTGACGTAGCCACTTGATCCCTCAGTGCATGCGAATATCTCGCTCCACATTCTTATTTTAGACAGAATACTCAAGGACGGTTCGCTATGTCAAATCCGTTCGCGTGTCATTTGTCACCTCATCTCCTTGTTGTTTTAGGGTGCATGAGATGGCTGCGTAGTGATACATTAGAAGGTGTAATGCCTCAGCCCTCCACCTAGCTCACTCCAGCAGTTTGCGGGCGTGCGAAGACGCCCAGCGTTTCGGAGGGCGTTTGGGCACGACGTCTTCACTACACCGAATGGGTACCGCATATCATGTGAGCGGAACGCGAAACATGGACCATGCGTTTAAGACCTTGCAACGATCAAGACCACGTGATTAAATGTAAGTTTTCAGCGGTGTGATTCAGCATAAACAACGAAAATTCAGTGGACAAGGTCAACGTTCAGCTGAGACTAAAATGTGAGATCAGCCTCATCGTGCGACCATGGTGCTTGCGCCAACACATTGCAAATAAACACCAACCCCACTTTGTGAAGCACTACAACAAAATAACCGAACGTTCCATACCCTTAACTTCTCACTTGTCTTTTGCCAGGAAATACGCAAGCATCGCATTACATCTCCAGTGGCGCTGGACTGAACTGTCTGCCTGATGGTAGCACTGAAACCGGTGCATAGTGACTGTAACAGAAGTGAACTGTTTTAATGTTGCGGATGCGAATGCTATTTCTTGGTCCGTTCCTTCTTTCAAATACCTCAGATTTAAACACAGTATGCCGCCTTTTTGTACTTTTCACTCGTTAGATCATACGACCACGATTTTGATCGCTTATAGCAGTTTTCTCTAAATCCTCCCAACTATCTCTGAATTTCCATTTGAAATAGCTGCTACTGCAGGAGAAATTTCATTGGACTCCCCGCTTACAACTAGGAAATCAATATATTTCATATGCCTTACATTTTGCATGTGCTCTGTTATGCTTGCAACACATTGCTTTTTCAAATGTTTGTGTAGCTGATGTTACGAAGACTTGGAACGCTCTTTTAAGGCAAAGAATATATGAACATGAAGCCATTATCCAGCGAATTCAACGAAACCTTGTCTTATGGCTTCGATTTCTCCCCTATGGCGTTTACTGCAATGGCTATGTTCGAAACGCACTTTGGCTTTGGGGAACGGAGTCTCACATGGTCTATGACACGCTTGTTCCAACTTCAACCAATGCGCTTCTCGGTAACTGCTCCTTGCCGACCGCTGTGCCAATCACAAACGTTCGTTTGTACTGATGTCATTCACTGACAGCTGACAGCGGCCCCCCAGCAGGTTATGCCGTCGTCAATGCGACGGTTGTCGCGACCGCAGGGAAGAGCGCAGCGCTGGTACAAAGCGTTGAAAGCGTAGTTTGGACTCGAAAATAATTAAAGTTTACATTCTGATAGTCTGGACGGTGCTGCTGTTAAACATCCCAGCGATGTTATTGGACGTAACTGGTCCCGAAGTTTCACTAGTTTGTTCTGAAATGTGTCCGAAGGGTGGGACACTTAAATGCCAATTTTCTGAGATGTGGATGCAGCTGCATTATTAATTTACAGTTCAATCGCATCGATGGCATAATCCACAGAGCCAATTGCTTCGAACCTGACTACTTGGCCAGCTGCACCACAGACATAAAGGCTGACAACGTCCGGCTCAAATACATCCACAATCATGGGCACATAGAGTGGTGCGGGACAACCCAACCTGCTCTTGGCTTTGCTTCAGAGGAGTCCATGACACAAGTCCAGCTTAAAGAGCAGAGGAGTGAATGCCATCTTGACTTCCAATCAATTCTGGTTGGTGTAATGGCAATGTCTGCATGTCGAGTCAGTTATTGCTACTGCAGATGGATTTCCTTCACAGGCTATTTTCTCTATGATTTATTGCAGTGTCGGAAAGCTTGACGTTTCCTGGTGTAATGCATACCAGGAGATTTTGTGCTCCACGATTGTGACTGGGTAAAATGAAATATTTTGTACTCCATCATGATGCAACAAGAACAGCTTTTGGAAAAACACTCATTTTACCTCTTTGTGTCAGGACAAAATAGAACCAGAAGGTGCAACAGCTTGAGACTTGCAGTTTCCATCAGGAGCCACGTATTGATATCTGCAAGAGCACAAATCTTGCACCCACTAAACTAAGATGCCCAAAAGCAAGCATGTATGTAATATGTATGTAATATGTAATATGATAAACCATGTATGTAAATGTGAAAAAAGCACGTGAATGTTGAATGGAATCACCTTTGAACAATACCAGGAAATGAGAAACAAGTACCAGAATCGCACCGGTCTGTAGATTAGCAAAGCTCTCACTTTCTATACCCTACGCAGACCTACCCAAACTTGAACATGACTTAACATACCATTGACGACGACCCGCATTAATCGCCAAGGATGCAACGAACATTCATAGAAACCGCACGCCCAATCACCTACCGCAGACCGCCGCCTACCCACGCGCCACCACTGTGTCATGGCAATGCAAATAAGAGAATCACTCGCAATTCAGCGTCGGAAACGTCTCGACTATTCAGCGGCTTGCGTCTGCCTCCCAGCTCAGGTTGGAGGTTGAACATAGCAAAACCCTCCAATCAGTTTTAATGATTCGTCTCCTCGGGACTGATTTGTCAATGGCATAAATATTCTGCTCGCGCTCATGCCTTGAACAGATTTGTAAACATTTGGAGAGAAGCTGTTTAGAGATGGGCATCTCGATTATGAAGAAGGACTTATTTGTACTCATCCAGAACCGCCATGTGGTTGGATTTTTGGCCACTTTCTGGTGTCCGGAGTACAAAAATGTTACGGCAGCTATGGGTTTAAACCAAATTAAATTTGTCACTTAAGGGTGTGGAATTAAGGCTGGTAATTCAGGCTTTACAAAAATACCCTTTGAAGTCGAAAAACGTTGCTATAAATAGCTAAAAAGCTGTTCGGAGACAGCCACCTCACTCCGGCAAAGACACCAGGACACCAGAGTAACATGAACCCATAACTTTGGCCCGGCAAATAAAGGAAACTTTGGCCCGGCAAATATTACTGCCGTCCAAAGGCAAAAAACGCGTGAGTGCTATGTTAACTAATGGCTGTTAGAACTTTTTACCTTTGGACGGCAGATTAGGGCAAAAACATCAATTGATTGCAACATAAGTTATCATATTTCGCAATGATATCGGTTAAAACGCATCAAAATATATAAATACCTTGCATTATCCGCCGGAGTCAGCGGAATGACTGACTCCGATCTCTTTTCACCGGCCTGCACGAGTCTATCAGGCATTGTACTTAAGCTGGCTCGGTAAATCGGTTAAGAGTGCTGCCTGTCTCTATTGTCCGGGTGGGATGTGCAGGGCCTCGTGTGTTGACCGGCAGTGGGAAGGTAGAGGGCATTAACGTTCAGCTGTTTTTAAAACCAGTTCGCTGGTGGAGCGTGAGTAGCGCGACCATGGTGGAGCGTGAGTAGCGTGATCGTGGTGGAGCATGAGTAGGCGGCCGTCTCTCGCATGTTCATTTGAATTTGTTGTGTACCATTTTGTCAGGCTGTGGTTATCATACACTCCCCCTGCCCCTGTTTTGGAGGGTGTCTAAGCGCGGTGTCTAGCCACCCTCCATTTCGGAGTGTATAAGCCGATGTGAAATTACCCTCCGTTTTGGAGGGTGTATACACAGAGCCTTTCATAAATTGCAAACCAATGTATGCCCACATGTGTTTCATAGTGCAGAGTATGAGACTGTGTTGTTTCAGTGTGCCATGTTTAATACTGATGTTTTCTTTCATTTAAAGTGCTTTTACATGAAATGCTGTACATGAAAAGTGGCGCTTTTGTTGAGTGCCCCCCCCCCCCCACTGTACTATTATTTCTCAAAGATAACCTAAATAAAGCTGTAATGACCTGCAGTACTTGGATGATTTTGTACTCTGGTATAGAAAATTTGTACTCCACTGCCAGGATTTTTTTTTTCCAGCACTGGTTTATCATGGTCTCTAAACTAATCTGTAATTAATTCATAATGTTGGCTTAATTTTAAATTATATATATATTTGTATTCCATTGACATTTCAAGCAAGATGCATCAATTTCACTGGTGTTTAAGTAGTTGAGGGACATCTTGCTGTTCTGGCACATGAGTAGATGGTTGTAAGATATGTTGATGTGCAGCAGAGAAAATTTCCTCAGATAACTTGGTTCTTACAGGGTTGATAGGTTCTGCAGCATTGATCAGTAAACACTGCTTAGTCAATTTTCATTCTCATTTCATTACCATTACACAGGATGACCACTACCTGTTTTAAGGAAACAGTGATGCATGGAGCACAAAAATTTGCCTTTTCTTACCCTTTAATTTAACAGCATAGGATGACTATTATCCGTCTTTTGGAAAAAAGTGGTGTGTGGAACTAAAGATGAGAAGTGAAAGTTATTGATGAGCTTCATGTAAAAGTGACTTCATTCTTTCTTGAACCTAATAAGGCTACAAATTTTCTGTAATTGCCATCGACTACTGCACAGCATATGACATCATTCAAGCTACCATAAGTGATGCTGTGTGTAAGACATCTGGGATAATTGCAGAACAGACAACAAAGTGTGATAAAACCCGTGGCAGAGGTCATCCTGGCTAGACTGCATAAAATATGTTACCCCAAATAGCCAAACAGACATAGCAACAGAACCAAGTGAATCCTGCAGAGCGACAACCATCATTGCAGCAATTGCGGCCTATTCATCCTCTAAACGTCTGCGCTCCCAGGTTACATGCAGAGCTGCTGCTTGCTTAAACATGAAGTCAATATTTAAGGGAATTATGGTGTTGCAAAGGTAATTTCAGGGCAACAATCATAAGCCAATGTTTAAAACAACACTAATTAGAAAATTCAGCACAATTTAACATAGTCTGTATGCATGTGTGGGCAATGTGTATCACATAAATGTAGCACAGCCATCTGTTGGAGTGGGTATTTTTGCAGCCTGGCAACCTTACATAAGATCTCTTTTTTTAATCTGCAGGGAAACCACTTATGGTTTAAAGTACTTACCCATAGCTCTGTACCCCATGCCATTTTGAATATGAAGTGATGAGCCTCAGTCTTCTCCAGTTATAGCGGATGGTGGAAAATTTGGTGGCGAATCAATCTTCAGGGAACCATATCAACGAAACAAGTCTAAGTTGACAATGAGCTAAGAAGGTAGAAACCCCTTGTCAACACTCGGAACCGCCTGCGCGAAGAGGCTCTGCACTCTGCACTTGGTATCTGTTTTTCACGAAGTGCGTGACACTCATATCCACGGACACTCCGCAGGTTGCGAAGAAACCTTGCTTTACCGCAGCTGCCGGTACCGAAGCACCATTCTACGCGAGGAGGTGACCTGACTTTTTCAAATCCTCATATCTTCACTCGCTCCTCTCTGGGCACGTCCGCCGGCCCTCCGTTCGACGACAACCGTCTAACTGTACGGTACAAAAACCGATTCCTGCGCGTCTAAGACAAACTGTTATCAGCTGATTATTTCAATAGACCAGGGTAGCATTGAGGTTCAAAAACAATCAAAAGTCATTGAATGACGAAGCCCCTGTTCCGTTGATTGCAATCCGGGCTTTCCGATGTTCAATGGTCGTTGGAAATGTTTCGTAGCACCTGCGCGGTACGGTTTCATGTGCAGCTTAGGATGGGGGACAACAGGATTGCTCTGTTTGGATGTTCTGATATAAGTGAAGAGAATTGATAAGGAAGCGCTGGAACATGATTTTCTTCAGGCGATTGGTCCGTTTGAGGTTAGGTTTTAGCACGCATATGCGTGCAAACATCTTAATTTTTATAATTTTGGGTATGGATCGGCGGCTTAGCAGCGCGTATGCAGGGTTTCACAATCAGTGTCGCAATTGGACATTCTGTTTTAAATATCCTACAATTTTGTTACCGCTCTCCCTCAATTTTGTGCGCCACAGGCGAATGGGATATACTTCATGACGTAAAATATCGCATGTCCTCAATCTTTCAAATTTCATTGCCCGTCTCGGTTTGTCTTGTTGGCATTAATCGCATAGATACAGGATCCAACCCGGCGGCACAAGGATTCACCTTGGTACCAAACGAAGTCGTGCAAGGTCGAACTCCAGATTAGTGTTTCCAGTGCTCTCAGGCCCTCTCGTGCAACCGCCGTGAAGCTAGCTATCGGTTCGAAGGAAAAGATTAGTGGTGTTTAATTAAGGTCAGTGACGTTGTTTGACCATAGTGAGGTCAAGGTGACCAAGTAACTAGAACATTGTTCCTATGTTGCCATTCACAGAAGTGTTAGGGATTACGCTAGGCGTATGTTCCTAAAGCAAATGTTAACCTGGGTCATTTTAGGTCAGTGATCTATTTGACATTTAAAGCGTCCATGGAAAAGGCCTTTTGCGGTCCCTGCCATTAAGTACTTCGAAATAAAAACCAGAGCCTACCCAGTACCCAAGCTCTCGAGTACAAAAGCAGATTAGTTTTGACCTAAGTATGACCTCCATATCCGGACCTAAGTCAATGGAGTTGATTGCAATTCTTAATTCAGTTGGTGTATTACCTGAGAAACTATTTCAGATAGGTATGGCTTCATCTAACACTCAGTTGTTGCACCACACTGAACCATTTCCTAGAAATGTCCCTCGCTGACAGCGATGGCCTGACATTGATACACCATAGGGCAGCGACCTCACAAGGCACATCTAAATTTTATATCAAGCGATCCGTCTTTTCTACGGCATGCGAAGTCCGACGCGGCTATGCCGCGCCGTTCCGAAATCATTGTGGAAAAACCTTTAGGAAGGGGGTTAATTTTGCCCCCCGAGCCGAGCGCGCGTCAATAACCAAACTCCTCTAGTTTCTGAGCTATACGGCCGCGGAAAGGTGCAAACTATTTTTCAGACTGCTTCAAGACCATCTAGGCATCCACAAAGCCATAATAACATCATTAAAATCCTCTCATTTCATAAATCATGAGGCGATCAAGGCCAAGAAAAATATAATTGACAAGTCGTTCGTATCCGGTGTTCACGATCACGAATTCCAGGTATACCGGCTGTCAGTTGGCTTTTAGTCAATGTTGTGCAAGGTACGATGACGTAACAAATCTGACGCATTGAGAAGCATGTTAACTTAACAGAGACATTATGCTGTCGAGAGCAGTAGCTTTTACTTAAAAGCCTACCAGTAATCATGGGTGGGCTTTTTCAATTATATCTGATTCTTGCTTCAACATCTTCAACAGTGAAACATTTCCCTAAAAGTCAATCTGTTAATCAGCGCCTGCCCGGGAGTCTGAGACAACCGCACCCGGCCGGGTGGCGGGCGGGGGGGGGGGGGGGGGGGCGGAGTTGACTTCCCCTCTGGGATCTCCAACTTCCATTCGTCGTATAAGAATGTCCGTGAAGTTAGTGATTTATTCAGAGATTTTTTCAGCGATGAGCTCCAATTTTCCTGATGAACAGTCCCAAGGTAAAATGCGGCTTGCAAACACCAAAAATGACCCTTATTTTGCAATATCATGTGACCTTCAAGGTCAAAAGCTGGGTCAAAGGACGGGGAGCTCGATATCCCCCAAAAATACCGGCTGATTTTCAACTTGCAAATGTTGGAATATTCACCACAGAAAGAATTAGCGTCCGTGAAAAAGTCATGACCTTTCAAGGTCACTGTTTAAGGTCAAACGTGGGCTCAAAGAAAGGGAACCTCATATCAACCAAAAATTACTGGCCGACTTTTAACTTATAAACATCAGAATAGTCACCACAGAAAGAACTAGCGTCCGTCCAAAAGTTCCGACCTCTCAAGATCACCCTTCAAGGTCAAACACGGACTCAAAAGACGGGGAGATCCATATCGCCCAAAAATTACCGGCTGATTTTTAACTTACAAAGATCAAAACATTTACCACGGAAAGAGCCAGCGTCCGTTAAAAAGTCCTTACCTATCAAGATAACCCTTCAAGGTCAAACACGGGCTCAAAGGACGAAGAAAAGAGTTTGAGTTTCAAATCGGCCGGTAATTTTTGGGTGATATGGAGTTCCCCGTCCTTTGAGCCCTCGTTTGACCGTGAATGGTGACCTACAGAGGTCAGGACTTTTTGACGGACGCTAACTCTTTCTCTGGTGATTATTTTGATGCCTCAAAGTTTAAAATCGGCCGGTAACTTTTGGGTGATTTGAAGTTCCCCGCCATTTGAGCCCGCGTTTGACCTTGAAGGGTGACCTTGAGAGGCCAGGACTTTTTGACGGACGCTGGCTCTTTCTGTGCTAAATATTCTGACATTTGCAAGTTGAAGATCGGCCGGTAATTTTTGGGTGATATCGAGTTCCCCGTCCTTTGACCTAGCTTTTGACCTGGAAGGTCACGTGATATTGCAAAATAAGGGCCATTTTTGGTGCTATCATGCCACGGTTGACCTTGAAACCCTTTGTTATGGAAATTGGAACTGGTCGCTGAAAATTCGCTGAATAAATCGCTAATTGCATGGACATTCCGCCCATGCGCTCAAGACTTTTTTTTTACTTCTTCCAACATTCTTCCTAAAAGACGCGGAGAACATCCACTGCTCAGCAACAGTGTCTATCTTTTTTACCTCTTTCCTTCCTTTTTAATGCTTGATAAGTTCTTTAAAGCCCTATGAAACATAATACGAATTGTGTTGCGCGTAGTAGTATTTGGAGGTGCAGATTCACAGCGCAGAATTGTACCAGAGTTGGTGGGCTTGATAAAGAGCTCCGTTTCTAATGTTGTGCGGTTGTTTCTCTTTTCCTCCGTCACTAGCTTATCCAAATATGGGACCCCCTTCCACTCCCTGTATGCTCCACCGTAAAGACCAAATTTGAATGCTAGCTGTTCATGAACTCTAAAAATTATTTACGGGCACGCCGTCTGTGCGTCCATACCTCAACACAATGATCCATGCATTTAGCTAAGAAAATTGGTTTTAACAGGCTAGGTTAACAGGGCAGGGCCTTCGTTTCAGATTGGTCTAGAAGTATTATCCCCAGCGCATGGGCTTTCCATTGTTTTACCTAATTCACGTCGGCAGAAGTCATCTCTGAACGAGATGACTTCTGACGAGAAGTTGTCCTAGAGACACTACTCTAAAAGACCGCAGGCGTCCTCTTTTGATAGACTGCAAATATCAATTTCATGGAAATGGTTCTTCACCTTAGCTTTCACGGCAGCGATAACCTCATTGACTGGTAGATTGCTAGATAAATCAACACCATCCACACTGAAGAAAATGCTGCCCTCTGGTAACACTTCTGCCTGCGAATGATAAGAAGACTTTTTTAGAAAGTTTGTGATGTCCCACAGATTAATGGGAACAAACACTAAAAGTTGGTCGGGTATTTTTCTAAAAAGACACAACATTTCCCTGCAGGACCACCGCACGGAGATATGGTGGACCTAAGCGGCAGCGCGGGTTTGCGATCCTTAGGCAGCCAATAGGACGCAGGCGTTCTACTGTCCACTTCATTTATCGCTCTGCTTACCTATGACATCATTTTTCCGAAGGTCTCTGATAAAGTTCCACTGGTCTGCAGTGCCATTTATTTTGCATACGTTGGGGTTTTTGAACGTGCGCAGAGCGCCATCCTTCAATTTTCGTTAGGCTGACGTGTACATCATGTCCTGTAAGGTTCCGCAAATATCTCTGATCAGGTCTCTGATGAAATTCCGCTGATGTACAGTGACAACTAGTTTGCCTACTTTATGGTTTTTTAACGTGCGCAATACGTCATTCGTCAATTTCTGTAGGCTGACTTTTGCATCAGCATTGAAAAGTTCCGGGAAGTGCTTACCGATGTCTGGAAACCTAAGCGACATATCTGGGATGCTTCCTCGATGAGGCTGATCTTCGTCGCGATCTTCTGCGTCTGCCCCACCGAGGCCACAATGCTTGTTCGCCGCTCTGATGGTACTGCTGCGTCGTGTACTGAAGCTGGTCGATCCTGGCCCGCTGCAGTCGCAGCGCTAGTGGTGTTGCAGCCATCACGCAATTTTGAGGCGTACTCGTTCCACTATTTGCCTTATGCAAAATGCTCAATTCCACAATTTTCAAGAAGATACCAACTCTCTGGGTTTGTTCCCACTCATCTGTGAGACACCAGAGACTGACACGCAGGGGAGTACGCATGCATGCATGCGTGCGTGCGTGCGTGCGTGCGTGCGTGCGTGCGTGCGTGCGTGCGTGCATGCATGCGTGTGTGCATGTGTACGTGGGTACATGCGTGCGTACATGCGCATGCATGCGATTTGTCAACATTTCGTTTCCTCCGTTCAGATCGGTGCAAACAGTGCAGACTTATCTACCTGACAGTGTATCGCAAAGTTCAACAACGTGTTGCATCATTGCACATGACGCAGCACTTCTTCGCAGCGGGGTAAATCCAAGAATTCTGTCTGGCAGCCAGTGCAGCCGTGCTCGTCCAAGTGAGCAGCACGCTGAGGTAGGTGCCTGTGAACACTACGGTCGTGGCCTGCCGTCCCACGCCGTGTGCTGGCGCGGAATATCTTTTGAAGCGTGAAGAGCCACAGCGCCTCAGGCCGTGACGTTCGGCACCAGCAGCTCTGTGGAGACGCTTGAGCTTCTTACAAGACACGCTAAGTTGTAAGTTGCATGCGCGTGCGTATATTTAGGTGTCGGCGGATGGTTCATGTTGCGGCTATGGGGTAATGCACCTATGCATTACGTATGCATTCCGCTCCAATGTCGTGCTAGCCGAGTCAGGGATCTTAAAAGAAACATGGGCTCAGGTAGGTATGCTGAATTATAAAAGAACAATTGTTTAGTACAAGCGAATTGCGACCATACCCATTATCTCGTACCATTTAGCGCTATTGAAAGGCATACCATCGAGCATAGAGTATTATCGTCCGAGCACGCTACCGGTCGCTGGCTCTTTGTGTGAAGTGTTAACTCCGCAAGGCAAGCTGTCGCACCATAGCGAAGAACGTTATATGACAATGCAAATGCTTGGCTGCATTTCATTCTATCAAGTGCTCTTTTCAGAAGCACCATGGGGGTTTCCCTGCTGTAAAAGCACTTGCATTTGAGACCGGTTGTCGATGTATTTCGGCACGTTGGCCCTCTCTAGGGGATGTTTTCGGTATGTAGTACAACACGTGTCGTGTGTTTACGTCGTATGTCGTTAGATAGCCTTGGCCGATGTGCAGCCGTTGTACTAACAGAGTCGGCCGTTATACGCAACTGGCTGGTGCCTGCGGTGCTCACAAAGTATGCTATTAAGATGCTTTTTATTTTATGATGTGTTTATGGAAATATTATCCGTTTTATTCGCCGACATGTGTTAAGGGAATATTTTCTGGTTCTACAGTATGTATCGTGCAAACGGAATGTTATGAAAGTGGAGGCATGTGGTAAGCTCTATTCTATCCGAATCATGTTGCAGACTTTTGGAACTTAATTTGCGGGCATTTTGCATGCCATTGTGCGATTCGATGTAAGTTCAGTTGCATGTTATGAAGTTAAACTTGCATGAGAGATGACATAATGCAGATGTATGTTTTTCACAATGTTTATGTTTGTGATGGGGTGAGGATTTGGTATAGCACCTCAGTTTAATTGCATAATCTTAGCTGAATCAGGTTCTTCATGTTCTTAAGAAATGCAAGGTGATGTGACCAATGATGATTACTTGGATGCATGACTAAAAATGCTGAGTAGTTATACAATGCTTATGATATTGATTATACCATTCCTCTAAAGTCATGTCAGATAGCTATCTGTTCTGGGTTGTATGATGAAATGTCATGCCTTTCATGGGGTGACTGACATGAATTGATTTTTTATTGTCCTGCATAGACAGTGCTTTCTGTTAGCTTGTTGCTGTTGTATATGTAATATTGAGGTGCAAGGATGACAATCAAACTATTGCATAGATAACATAGGTATTAGGTAACTTGTTAAGAACTGAGACCCTCATTTGAGATGCATAGGATTTCTGGAATTGTTGACCTGTAGAGATATTTACATACCTACTCAGTGAAATACATAAGCTTGTGATAATTTCTAGATGCTCAAGTAAGTATTGTCATTTGTTTCTCAGAAAAGTGAGCTGAGGCTTAATTTAAATAGCTAAACTCTTTGATTGGTAACTTAATTCCATCACCTTGTGCAATTTTCCAAAATGAAAATTACAGAACTAGGAAGTAAAACATGCATGTTTTGTGGCTTGAATTCTAGTCATATGCAGTATTCAGGGTAATTTAGAATGTAAACACATCCATGAGAAAATTAGTGCATATTGCAATGTTCTGGAATAATAGTTGTTCATTGTTTAGTAATATGTTCATGGGCCATTATGTCCATTCTTTGCCCTGCCATAAAATGATCATTGGGGATTTTGTGAAAATGGACACAAGATGGTGTGGAAGGAAAGGGAGTGCTCTGCTTATATAAAGTTTAGAGTGCAAGTTAATGGAACATTTTGCTTTTGAAAAACAACAGATATGCCTATATTTTAGCATAAAAAGCAGCATATTTACTGAGAGGATATTTTATGTATGGCAATATATGTCACATTTCAGCATTCAGTCTGTTGCATGGTAACTGTTCAAACCTTGAATATACAACATTATTCTTCCCATGCATTTAAAATTGCAAAGATGTGATTTGAAAGGATTTCTTCACAAGTCATGCCACCCATGTGGCAACAGGCAGCCATGGGGCAGTTTCCTTCAACATGATGCGAATGTGCACTGAACAGGTTATGCGGAGTACTCTGTGGAAATATGCGTAACTACTGACGCTGCTTTCACCACTAGATGGCAGTCTGAGAGTGAATTTTTGTGAATCGTAAACAGGCTGTCTTCACCGCACCATGAGTCTCGTTTGATAGATTCGCAACAGAACACTGCAACACGCTTGCCCAGAAGCGGGTCAGTCGGCCTACCCCCGACAGCGGCCTGTTCATATGGCTGTCGATGCCGCGTTCTCGCCGGCCGGCCGGCGTCACCGTGTTTGAGAACAGCATCCTCTCCAGATGCTGGCGTTGCGGCAGGCGGTACTCTGCAGGGGTCGGACGATGGCCACTCTGACCCCCAGCGCGGCAGCGGTGGCAACGTCGGCGCTCCGTGCAGCCCACCCCGTCAGACTGCAGTCCACAGCCGCGGCAGCGGGCCCGGCCAGTAACCTGCTACTACGTCAGGTGGGAGGCCAATCTGTCGTGACGATGACCTTTGTTCCTGACATTGACTGTACCTGCTTGCTCGAATGAGTCCTGACCATTCAGCCCCTCACGTATGAAGAGGGCATGTACAGGGCAGTGCCCCGAATAGTGGTCATATGTTCGTTCCCTGTCAGTTAAGCTGCGCGGTACTTGTGACGTGCTAATTCAAGTTTGAAAGAAATGAATAATCGGAACAACTTAGCGACCTCGCGATACGGTGAGGACTGTTGTGTTTGTCTTCCTAAAGCATTATTGTTATGAGTATTTACAAACGCTTATGGAACATGTGACATCTTGCAATACATTCACCATTGGTTTCATGTAACATTTCAGACGTTAGACGACTTGTAAACTCTAAGGAAATGGACCCAGCCCAATCTCATCAGCGAAAAATCAAAATCATCGCATCGATGTCCTATCCGTTTGTTTGCGGCGATGTGCTCCTGCTGGAATTGGATGTTTAAAACTTAGACGAGAAAACCAGGCGGAATGTGTGTCTTGTTATTTGCATGAATATTGAATGGGCTAATTATGCGTTCTGAAACTTCAGTTGCCTAACTTAAAGTCAATTTAAAAGATAGCGCGCGCTGATACCACAGTTCAACCATAGACGTGATGCTAAAGCAGCATATCAGTCTGATATCCTTCATCACGATGGTTAGGTAAAGCGTATCGTGTGTATTCAAACATGGATGCACAAGCAAACCATTATTCACAGTCATGTAGGAGTGTAAATGGTGTAACAATCTCCCAGTCTTTCCGCTCTTGAAGTCGCACGTCTGCTCCGTGTGGCCAAAATGATCAATGAAGGAATTATTCACTGTCGGTTTGTCTCATGACAGTTATGAGATCGTGTTGGGTTTCTCGAGGATGGCGTGCAGTCAAAATATGACAGTGTGTTATCGTGTCTTTCGGTAAGGGACTGGATATGATATGACTGCTCAGGCCTGACAAACGTAGCTTGGTATTTTAATTTCCCTACTTCTCCTCAAATACAACTTGAGCTTCGTTGCGTTGCTAACATTTGACCGATCTATTCGCCGTGCGACGTGTGCCGCTTCCCAACAAAACCAGTGACAAAGCGTTTCGCCACTCTGCTTGCGCTATCGATCCGTACTGAGCCCGCTGTGGCTGTACCTGGCGCCCCTCCCGTCTCTGTACCTGGCGCCCCTCCCGTCTCCTCCCCGCTGCGCCTCGTAAGCGGGCCGGACCTCTGACCCGGCCGCCCCGCCGCCCCGCCGCCCCGCCGCCCCGCCCCGCCGCCCCGCCGCCCCGCCGCCCCGCCGCCCCGCCGCCCGCCGCCCCGTCGCCCCGCCGCCCCGCCCGTCGCCCCGCCCCGCCGCCCCGCCGCGAGCGCTGCTGTCCGCGGCGTCACCCGCGGACCGCCGCGCCGGCAGCTGTTCGATGCCGACACCTTCACGTACACGTACCTGGTGGCGGACCGGCGCAGCGGCGAGGCGGCGCTCATCGACCCCGTCATCGACCAGGTGGACCGCGACCTGACCCTGCTGCGCGACCTGCGACTGAAGCTGAAGTATGCCGGTCAGTAGGGCGTGGCGCCTGTGGACGGCGCGGCGCGCCGCTCGCTGTGGTCAGTGGTGCCGGACGGTCGGATGCGACAGTTTGTGCGCACGCACGCACGCACGCACGCACGCACGCACGCACGCACGCACGCACGCACGCACGCACGCACGCACGCACGCACGCACGCACGAGAGAGAGAGAGAGAGAGAGAGAGAGAGAGAGAGAGAGAGAGAGAGAGAGAGAGAGAGAGAGAGAGAGAGAGAGAGAGAGAGAGAGATACATACATAGCAGAGCATAGAGATACATACATACATACATACATACATACATACATACATACATACATACATACATACATACATACATACATACATACATACATACATACATACATACATACATACATACATACATACATACATACATACATACATACATACATACATACATACATACATACATACATACATACATACATGCATACATACATACATACATACATACATACATACATACATACATACATATACATATATACATATATACATATATACATATATACATATATACATATATATATATATATATATATATATATATATATACATATATATATATATATATATATATATATATATATATATATATATATACATATATATATAATATGTTTATGTTTGTTGCACATTCACACTTTTACTTACTTCAGGAAGGTTTTGGCGCGAGCAGTTTTAATTGGTAACAATATCATGGCGACTTAATCACTTCCTCCGTTTCTTTAATCACCGCTATTTGGGCCACCACATGTAAATGTCCTTTGTATTTCGCCGTCAGCCGCCGCCGACACGTAACGCGCTGCTCGCCGGCCGGCAGTGAACACTCACATGCACGCGGACCACGTGACCGGCTCGGGCCTGATCAAGGCGGCGCTGCCGGACTGCCAGAGCGTCATCTCGGCCGCCTCGGGTGCGCAGGCGGACGTGCTGCTGGCACCCGGCGACCGGCTGCGCGTGGGGGAGCTGGAGCTGGAGACGCGCGCCACGCCTGGTCACACCAACGGTGAGACGGGCCGGCGCCAGTTTGTTTCACCGCTGACGAGCTGGTCTCACCGACGGTCGCGAGGGAGGAGCGGACAGCACGGCGGCGAGGCGTGCGGTTTACGGGCACGGTATGGCGAATAGGTGTATAATTCACGTATTCCGGTGCGTGCTGCGTCATGACGTTGGTGTGGTATCATTCACCTGCAGTGGTGTCCGCCCGACACGCTTGGCGTTTGGTGACGTCTACCTCTGGCCGTGTGCTGCGCTGTGACCCACTCGTGCGGCACCCCGCCGTGACCCGGCACCGGACCACCCGACTGACGTGCCCTCCCCGCCCCCCTCCCCCCCCCCCCCGCTCGTCGGCCGCAGGCTGCGTCACGTACGTGCTGCACGCGGCCGGCCTGGCGTTCACCGGCGACGCCGTGCTGATCCGTGGCTGCGGACGCACAGACTTCCAGGAGGGCGACAGCGCCACGCTGTACGACTCGGTGCACAGCCAGGTGTTCAGCCTGCCTGAGCACTTCACCGTCTTGCCGGCGCACGACTATCACGGTAGGAGCGGGAACGGGGTCGTCGCGGCACCGCCGCAGTGGGGCGGCCAGTGGCTGGTGCGGGATGTGCTGCCAGGATGTGCTGCTAGTGCGACGTCATCAGGGTGAACATGAGCTGTCTCGGAGAAGCTTTGCGGTGCCACAAAACTAGGGCAGGCTGTGGTCTGGCTCCTATCGAGCTCCAGCAACAAGCTCATCGGTATCGGAAATCTCATTTTCAAGCCTAACATGGCTTAACTTGCCTTGTGTTTAGCTGCAAAGCCTAGGTGCCGTTTCGGTGAACACACTTTTCAGCGCTGGCTGTACCATACCTGGTGACGGGAAAAAAGGGCAAGTTCTTGTAAAGGATGAGTAATTGCACATACAGCTGCACAGCACACACCTGCCACAACAACGCATAGAGCTCGTTTTCGTTAAAACGAGTGGGTTTAAGTCGAGCGCTGGAGCTCAAGCACACAATGATTCGAATAAGCGAGCCCTGCCGCCTGCTGATAGACCTCGTCACCGGTGATCCCTGTCGCCTGCTGGTAGGCCTCGTCACCGGTGATCCTCGGGCTCGCCGCTGCTGATTAGCTGTCCGAGGCTGACCTTCCGTGACCTGTGTGGGCGGGCGCGGCCGATGACTGGGGCCCGCCCGACAGCCGCTCTGTTGCGGATGGGGCGGGGGCGGGGCGCAGCCGCTCTAGCCTGGCTTTCTGGCGCGGGAGACTGACGCTCGGGGTGGATTTCCCGGGCCTGGGGGAGGGACGCCAGTCGTATTATATACGGAATGTGGGTGGAAGATTTCAGCCAGTTTATTGGTCATTCCTCCAACACAGTCATTTGTCTGAAAGGGTTTTAGGTGCGTATTTTCCAGCATGGCCAGCAAGGTTCACCGAACATGTTATCAGCGTGCTTGCAGAAACTTGCATGAGGTCAAGGGTTGTCAAGGAGCTATCATCCTAGATCCAGTTTGTGTCCGTATTTATCCAGTTTGCGTCCGTTTGTCCGCTCAAAGAAGGTTTTCTTGGTATATTTCAGGTCAGGAATACATTACAAAGCTATTAATTATGTTGGACTTGGGATATCGATGAGCACTGTGAAATCAGCTTCGCTGAATGCATGTAAATAAGCGTGTGGCTGCGGCCATTGCCGGCTTCTGATCTTTGGTCATCAGCGTAATATGGACTGACGCTGTCTGACAGCTTCCAACTGCGTACGACTCGTGCAATATACACCTTGTCTAGAATAATCAAGTGAAGTCATTTGACGTAGACCATTCGCCCGCTCACTGACAGGCCTCACAAGCTCGTCCATTGCTGAAGAGAAGCACTTGAACCCAAGACTGTCCCTGCCCAAGGCGGAGTTCGTTAAGTTTATGGAGGGCCTCAAGCTTGACTACCCGAAGCGCATCGGTGAGTGACGCAGTCTCATGCTGACCGCACGCTGGCGCCCCGCCGGAGCTGTCTGCGTGCGCCGCTTGCCGGGCGTGTGCTAGCGTAACTGGCACCGTGCTCTGCTTCAAAATGAGGAGCACTAGCTAGCATCCTCGGCATTGCGTATGTGTATATCCGTGCTTAGTTATCTAACCGACACGGAACGGTGCAGTGCTACAGACTACACTTGCATGCGTTGAAAATTGATGAATGGCTGGTACATCTCCGCCACACCTCCACCCCCACCCCACCGCATTCATCTAAAATATGTCTGTGGTCTGCCGCACCGCCGCTACCGTGCCTGTGTGCGCGCTGGGCCGGCCGTGGCGCCGCCTGGTGTGACCTTGTCCCGCCCTGGTCCCGCTGACGCTGGCACGTGTTCCAGACGAGGCGCTGCCGGCCAACCGCGCCTGCGGCCTGCAGGAGCTCTCTGAGGCACATCGCGCCCTCTTCGATCGGCTGAGCACGGCCTGAACGTCTGACGCCCGGCGTGCGGGCCCGGGGCTGCCGAAGGCGGACCGCCCGGACCCCGACCGAGTGAGGACGGGCTGGCCGGAGCGGACGGAGGCTGAGCTCAGCCCGAGCTGGCCGGATCGGGCGGAGGCTGAACTCAGCCTGAGCGTCCACTGCCGCCCCAGCACGCCGTCGGGCCCCGTCTGGCAGGCTGAGACCGGCGGGCCGGTGCTATTGGGTGGACCGAGCGCCCGCGGGCCCGGTCTGCGGGGTCTGAGCGTGGCCGGGCGGCCGGAGTACTGACCCTGACCTGATCGCCGGCGGCCCGGGCGTGCGTCGCAGCTCGAGCTGAGCGAGGTGGAGGGGGGGGGGGGGGGGGGAGGGGGGACGCGTCTTTTGATGGGCTGTCGGGCGTCACCTAACCGGTTGGGCGGCACGTGACCGTCCTGGGCAGGGGTTGGGGACGGAAGAGGCGTAGCTGCGGTGTAGCCGGGTTTCAACGCACGCTGTGAGGATCCGCCGAGGTCGTGGCGGCGGGCGTGTGTCGTGCTTGTAAGCGGTGCTATCGAGGGGGCTGACAGAGATGTCAGCAGTGCTGATGCGTAACGTTGTTTTTTGAACGTGCTTGTCAGGCATTGTTACGCTTTCGAAAGGCTCGTAGCTTTGCGGTAATGGCTGTTGCTAGGGTTTGGGTGTGTTCTATAACGTTGTGATATCGCTATGTTGCGGAAAATCGTTGGGCAATAAGGGCTAATTGTGACGATTTTCATCCATAGCACTAAAAAACTTATGTATTCTAATCTCAGAACGATGCATATCCAAGCAATAGCCTCTAAAGCAGGCACTGTTCATAGCGTATTGTCAAGAATCATGTCTGAACTACGCCATATCCAAACCGCAACTGCCAGCATGCTCGGAATGTATGTTTGCATCAGATCAAGTGCTGGTACTGGTGCGCTTTTGTAAAGATGATATGCATCTCTCAATTGAAGCAAGACAGTTGACAGAGATACAACTGGAGCTATACAGAGAGCGAGCGAGCGCGCCGAGAGAGAGAGAGAGAGAGAGAGAGAGAGAGAGAGAGAGAGAGAGAGAGAGAGAGAGAGAGAGAGAGAGAGAGAGAGAGAGAGAGAGAGAGAGAGAGAGAGGAGAGAGAGAGAGAGAGAGAGAGAGAGAGAGAGAGAGAGAGAGAGAGAGAGAGAGAGAGAGAGAGAGAGAGAGAGAGAGAGAGAGAGAGAGAGAGAGAGAGAGAGAGAGAGAGAGAGAGAGAGAGAGAGAGAGAGAGAGAGAGAGAGAGAGAGAGAGAGAGAGAGAGAGAGAGAGAGAGAGAGAGAGAGAGAGAGAGAGAGAGAGAGAGAGAGAGAGAGAGAGAAGAGAGAGAGAGAGAGAGAGAGAGAGGAGAGAGAGAGAGAGAGAGAGAGAGAGAGAGAGAGGAGAGAGAGGAGAGAGAGAGAGAGAGAGAGAGAGAGAGAGAGAGAGAGAGAGAGAGAGAGAGAGAGAGAGAGAGAGAGAGAGAGAGAGAGAGAGAGAGAGAGAGAGAGAGAGAGAGAGAATGGTCTGTGAAAATGGTCAACTGCGCGTTTTGATCCCATTGATTCCCCTGCGTTTAAACAATATGAAGAGCCTCCCGAGACGTTCATGTGCTCATTGAGACAAACGCTATAAGTCCTGAAGACGATCGTGCGTCATATAGTTACACACATGCGCTGGTGACATCGCCCTTGCTGGTACCATGAGGCGTGCATCCTTTGTGCCAACGAATGTGCAAGCATGATATGTGTGAGATCTGAGGTCTGAGATATGTGGTATTGTTGATAATTTTGCGCGTTTATTAGATTGTGTGTGGCTGTGGTGGGCTCGGCCCAAGTGGCTCAAGCTTTTGTAACTTGAACGAATACACGGGGCATAATCAGAGCGGCTGGCTGTTTTTGTTGTCAAAGTTAGCTGACAGCTGGACTCCGATCGATTGTTGCCGGCTCCGATCCAGTCTGGGCCCGCTGGAGCCCTTAAAATTATCTTGAGCTCTGACACAGCTACTGCACTTCGCTGCACGAAATATATTGCATTTAACAACGGAGTTTGGGTTCATGTCTGGCTGCGTTTGTGGATGGTGCCCAACACGTCAGTGGTCATGGTAATACGCCTGGCGCCTGGCACCTCGTCTGGCGCCTCGTCGGCGATATTACAGGATGGCGAGCGAGATCGACAGCCAAAGCCAATTTTACAGCTGGCGGCCAAGCGGGATTACTTGTGAGAATTATACGCACGTGGCAGCGCCGTCGCAGAGCATGCGGCGCCTGTGATGTCATTCAGACAATGCTGAAGGCTACGGCTAATTTATGAACTGTTCCTCGAAAAAAGTTGACTGCATGCTCCCAGCGACCAGTTGTTTTCTGGTGCCAGGAGCACCTGGGGCGGCGCGGTATGCAGCTGACCTTTCACGGACCGAAGATCACAACCTCACATGCAAGATTCGCTAGGGGTAAAAGTAGGCGGGTACGTGTTCCCCCTAGCAACTATACCTATGGAAAGGTGACACGTGCCGAATTTATGTCCTCATGGTCAAATGTTGGCAGCTTAAAATCCCAGGTGGACACGTAACAATGAAATGGAGATTGAAACTGCAACTGTTTCATCTCTCGTAGATTCAGAATTGTTTTCTCGCGAAGAACTGGCTTCCCATTTCAAGTTAATGAGAGCTGCCTCTTTGTGAAAAGCCAAGCATGGTGAAGCATGGTGAATTCACGGGAAAGCTTTTAAATAAACCTTAGAGAGTGATCACTGATGACTAACGCTTTCGCTCACTGTGTTGTATAACCACCACAGACACGATTATGCAACAAATACACTTACTGCTGCCGGGTGAAAACATGCGTGAACTCTTATTAGGACCACCACTGATAAAAGTTAACGTCACATTAACGTAACACAAAAAAGCTGTCACACATTGCAGTTCATTGTTCTTTGCCCCAATCCAGGCTTTATCATTCGAAGAAACTTGCTCAAACCTTCCCAGACTGACTTAAAATATGAAGGATTTAGCATAAAAAACATTTGGTACCTATACACGATATCATTTGGTGCAAAATATACATGATACTAAGCTGTGTGCTTCCTTACCTACTAACTAGCATACCAATAGTTAATATAATTGCTTTGTATTGATCTGCCCCAGTATTCCCTCTTTGCCCATATGCATGGAGGGGCTCAGAGGAGCATTGGGGGGGGGGGGGGGCTCTCAAGTCAGCATTGGGGGTGGGAGGGGGCTCAGACCCCCGAAAGTATGTAAAATGACACCCCTGCACGTAGGTGTCCAACTTGTTTGGGGGCATGTGCGTATCCAAAAAGATCTGAACTCCTGCAAATCGTACATGTCTAATAATGATAGGTAAATAGAGACTGGCATCATGGACAATGCTCTGAACGGACCGTGATGCGCTGCGCTGTAAAAATACCATGTATGACAATGCATGCCACGACAACCGGAGGACGCGAGCACGGCCGGTGGATGCGAGGAAAGAAACATGGGGAGTTGAACCCCATGATTTACCCCCGCACTCGATAACACCTCAGTAACAAGTGCTGCGTGAGTTCCGTAAGAGAGGCCAAGTTCCCCCAAGAGGCACACGATCTAACATCCTACGTTAGCAGTATGATGTTGCATGAAAAGAACCGAGGGACAAATTACGTTGGACTGCAAAACTCCTCAGAAGGTTCGTTGTCACCGGGGGAATTTGACCCAGAGCCGACAGGTGCCACGGTTAAAGGACAGATTCTACTTATAATTGAATGCCGTTTGCGTGATAGCACGTTCGCCATGTGTGCAGCCATACATATATTACTTGTTGAGTAGTTGGTTTATGTAGTAGTCTTAACACGCGGTCGGGTGAGGGCCAAACTGACCCCCACCCAAAAGGTTTTCAGGAATGGTATCTGAATGGCGCGGCGAAGCCGCGCCAAACGTTGCTTAGCTGTAGACAATTAAATAGCGGATCGTCTGATCTAAAAAAATTAGATGTACCTTGTAAGGTCGCTGAACTATGGCAAGACAAAGTCAGGCCATGGTTTCATGGTTTTGGCTACTGATTTAGAATGACCCAGGTAGACATTTTGTATTTGGAAACATACTGCCTAGCGTAATCTTTGTCGCCTATCCAAATGCAAAACTCAGAGCGGTCTTGTATGATTTTGGTCACCATGACCTTCAAAAGATAAAAAAGATTACCGACCTTGGATGAGCATGTGGCCTTTTGCTTAAAACCGTTATCCAGGTTCTAGGGGCCCTCTGGAGACCAACCTGGAATTTGACCTTGTTTGACCTTATTTGACCCGAGGGTGATGACCTAGGAACTTCAGACTTGGATTTAAGTGAGTTCACGTACGGGACAATACACCCTGTGAGTTTAGTGCCTCTAACTTTCTTAGTTCCTGGGATCTCAGGGGGGAGGGTTCAAATTTACCCCCACCTGAGCGAAGGGTAACCAACCGGCCACCCGGGCGCGTGTTAATTGAGGTTTCTTGGCGGTGAATGCATGCATAGGCCACCCAGGAATCTGACAACAAAGGAGATAAAAGAAAACCTTCGCCTGGGCTTAAAGAACGTGCCAGGGCACGCCAGTCCTCACCTGCGGTGGAAACACAACACACAAAGTTTACCATTCGGGCTTAAAAGGAATGTTTCACATTTGATGATATTAAAGTAAGGATCAGATATAATACACCAAACTCACTGATAACAACTGTTATACTCTTAAGTAGAGAAGAGTGCCCTGGACAACACCATTTCTCGGTTTAGTAAATGTGTTCCCAGATACGTCATTGTTTGATTACGTCACCATACCTCACACAACATCCGTTGAGAGCTAATTGATGGTCGTTATATCTGAGAATCATGCTCACAAACGCCAATATGAATGACTCGACCAATTTATTTTTTACCTCGATCAGCGCATGACTCATTAACTGGCACTATTTGAATAGCGTTCCTGTGATGTCATGAACGCCAAGGGGGCCTTCAAATACTTTCCCAAATTACTTTTCTACATCTTTGCGGGGTTTAAGCTCAAGAACAAGAGCGCTTCAGGTCTAAAAAGGGCATGGCCGTAGACTGCACCAAAAAGGCTTTAATATAGCTATTCTAGTTCAAAATCCGATGCAAATATGGAGCACTCCCTTAACAAATAATTATTTGTATCGTCTTTCCGGTAGACTAAACCGCAAAAGATCTCCTTGGTTCTGTAAAATATCATTCAAGGAGTTACGCTTGTACTATGTCGGGATCTCTTTTGTAAAGAGCACGTTTTATTCTAAAGCCTTAAAAAATGATGAAGTGCACGGAATACCCATGTTTGC